CCGGGGGGGGTGATGTATTCATGCAGCTGCGTGTCCGATTGTCTTGTGGCCGTTGCGGAGCACTCTCATCTCAATCATACAGATGAACTGGTACGTCTGTGAGTGGACATGTCAACACACACACACACGCACACACAGAGAGAGTCCATCCATCTCTTTGTGCATATGTGTGTGTGTGTGTGTGTGTCTGCAGCCGAGAGGAGCGACGCACACACATGGGCAGTGGCATCGGCAGGTGGCCGTGTCGGCTGTCTTGGACGGTGGTCACGGTGGCCGTCATCGCACTCGCCACAATCGCCACAAGTGCGCTGCGTCACCACATCACCTGTGCTCGTATGTGCGTGTTTCTTTCTGTCTGGTCTGCTCAGTCGTGTTCCCTTTTTTGCGAGTGGCGCTCTCGATTGTGGGCAGCATCGGAGGTAAGAAAATGGGCAGGCAGGCAGGTCCGCACTGCTGTCGTTTATCCTCGTGTGTGTGTGCGTGTATGTGGATGTATTGCAGGCGCCTTCATTGTGTTTATCTTCCCCGCCCTTTTTTGGCTCAAACTGAGCCCTGGTGGGTCGGTCGGCCGCCACACACCCATCTAAACAACATGTGCCTCTGTCTGTCTCCATATGTGTGTGTGTGCAGATCGTTGGTATCACATCCGCAATCTGTCGGCCGTCCTGCTCATTCCCGCGGGAGCTGCACTCGGGTACAGACACACACACATACCTTTGTTTCACCGCACACACACATGTGTGTGTGTCTGTGTGTGGCGGGTGCAGGTGCACGTCTCTGTTGGTGGTGCTCAAGAGGCTTGGCATTGGTTCGGCCCTCTCAGCCGTGGATGTGCACTTCCTCGACGCACTTTCTCAGTGAGTGGGGGAGCTAGAATGGTGTGCAGACAGAGGGAGGGACAGAGAGAGGGGGAAGGCTTTTTGCTGACTCCCTATCTGCCTGCCTGCCCGAGTGGGGCAGAGAAGTGACTCACTGTCTTTCTGCGTCTGTCTTTTGTGCACACAAGAGAGAGACCTGCCTGTTGATCGGTCAAATGCCATCTTTTGATCCATTCCAATCGAAGAATGTCCCGCGAATCAAAGACACAGAGATGCTGGTTGAAGCGAGCATGAGCCACGAGAGCGTCGTGTTTGGTGTTCATAGAGAGATTGGGCACATGGCGCACCTCTCTCACACACCACAGACACTCGACTCAGATGGCTTAGAGTTTGGTGTCATCTGAACTCATTCATTCATTCACTCAATTAAACGCATTCAGTCCATGACACATGGCTCACACAAACACTCCCAACACAATTGGCAGCCACCACCTCTCACCCCACCACCGTCCCCCTGTCGATGACGTCGCTCTCGAGACCGAATAGCCGTAGCACACGGCGGGCGGCACCAGCCGACACAGTGTAGCGGTCGGCGAGAGGCTGAGACCGATCAGCCACGGGTGCCTCGGTCTTGAACAGCTGGATGTCGCCGTAGCGCATCCACAGGGCTGCAGCGACGGTGTGGCCAGGGCGGAAGCCGCTCACAATCACACGACGATGGTCACTGACCTGGGCGGCAGCATTCAGATCGCCCCCATCGTAGCGCCAGTCGACAGCGATGCCCAAACCCTCTATGATTGCATCGGTCACCAGCCGGCGATAGCGAGGGTCGTCACTGCCGATGTGTGCCCACAGCACCCTCATTTCGCCCACTCCATCCGACCACCAGAAAAGCACCGCGTACAGCAGGAATGCCGAGAATGAGTGGTAGAGCCTGCCGCCCCGTCGGATGACGGGGTCAGTCCGCTTATAGCCCTCAGCGTACCGATGGGCGGCCGGCAGCTCACCCAACGCCACCACACCAAACGTTACACCGCCGATCCGATAGCTTCTGTCGTTATCGGCTGGCTGCAGCGCCAGGCTGGTCCCTCTGTGTGTCAGCTGCTGGCCGATGATCTTGTAGATGGCCATGGCGAGTGGCATTTGGTGGAAGGCCGTGGCTGTGGGCAGCGAGTCAGCCGACAGGCGGAGAGGCCGCGTCGCATCAGCAGGGGTGAGTCCACAGATGAAGGCCAGCCGAAGGAACCGCCCCATCGCCCGCCACTCCTCGCCACTGCCCCGCTCCAGCACATAGACCACCTTCAAGCCGGCCTCCACATCACCGCCAATGTCGAAGGCCAACACGTCCACCAGGCCCAGACGAGTGATGGCCTTGTGGATGTGCTGCTGGAGGGCGTTGAGCACGGTGCTGTTGACGGTCTCCGCAGTGTGGCCCAGCAGCTCCTGTTGCCGAGTGCGGGTGGCGAGCTGCGAGCGGAGAGCGGCTCGTTTGGCATCGTCAGTCGCCATGGCCATGGCGGCCATCTTGCTGATGGGCAGTGACAGGTCAAAGAGGTCGGCGGGCTGGAAGAGGGCAGGGCTCGGGGGACGGGACGAGGGCGCCGCACCAGTGGGCTGCATCGTCAGTGTCCTGAGGTCTCATCGAAGCGTCACTCAAGACACGGAAAAATAGCAGTGTGTGTGAATTTTGACGCCTTCCCTGCCTCTCTGACTGTCCTCTCACCTTCATGACTGTCCTTTGCGATTGAGAGACCCATCTGCGAGCTTGGCTTGCAGACCTTCTCTTTTTTCCCGTTTGGTGACAACAGGGCCGCCTGGGGTGTCGGTGAGATGCACAAACAGCTGCCGAGATGGTATCGATCACCACAGATCTGTCACCTGACTCACCTCCCTGACCGGCTCTGATCTGACGAGTTGAGGTGAGATAAGGCGGGCAGGAGAGTCTGATGACCACAGTGGTTTCTGTGTGTTGGTGGCAGATTTCCGGCACTCTCCGACAGAGGAGGACAGCCCTGTACCGCAGGTATCTGAGACCATCAGGGGCAGCCAAGCCGCCGACAGAGGTGCGCGAAGGCAAAGAAAGCCGCTCGGATGTTCACAGATCGATGAGGCGCCACACATGCATTCGCTCATATGTGGGTGTGCAGATGTCGGGTGCTGGTGATGATGAAGGTGGTGCCGCTAGCTCTGACGAGGCATCCTCATCGTCATCGACGAGAGGGTCGTCGCATTTCCGGCAACACTCAGTCACACACTACAGGGTAAGAGGACAGCAAGAAGAGCAGCCAAGAAAGGCAAAGAAAGACTCGAAAAGCTCAAAAATTTTGTTCGTGTCTGACGATGTGTGGCTGCAGATCTCTCACACGACGCCTCGCTCAGACCCCAGGACAGTCAGTATGCAGCCCACTCGCACACCGCCCGCCTCCCGTCCCGCCAGCCCTCCGCTCTTCCAGCCCGCCGACCTCCTTGACATCGCCATCAGCAAGGCGGCTGAAATGGCAATGTCACCCGACCCCAACAGACGCGCCGCTCTCCACTCACAGATCAGCAGCAGCGATCCTGATGATGAGAACACGGTGCTCCATGAGGCGAGGCGCCACGTCGAGAAGGCCTTGGGTCCTCTCGGCCTGCAAGACGTTTTGGCCTTTGACATCGGCGATGATCTGGAGGCCGTCTTGAAATTCGTCTATCTGATTGAGCGGGGCAGTGACGGGGAGTGGCGAGCGGTGGGGCGGTTCCTTCGGCTGGCCTTCATGTACCGGCTCACCCCTGCCAATGCGACGCGGCCTCTGCGGCTATCAGCCAACGCACTGCCCACAGCAACGGTTTTCTATCAGATGCCACTCGCCATGGCCATCTACAAGATCATCGGACAGCAGCTCACATACAGAGGGACCCGCCTGGCGCTGCAGCAAGGCAATGACGGGAGCTATCGGATCGGCAATGAGGCGCCCCTTCGTGTGGTACCGTTGGGCGAGCTGCCTGCCGGCCATCCCTATACTGAAGGCTACAAGGAGACCGATCCCGTCATCCGCTGGGGCGAAAACTGGCTCTTTCCCTCATTCTCGACATTCCTGCTGCGCCTGCTGGCTGGCAGGTGGTGCTGTCAACAAGGGGTCGACTGCATGAGGGTGCTCTCAGCACGAGTCGGCCGTGATGACCACCGCCGTGGCCGCTTGATAGCCGAGGGCATCACAGAGGATCTGGGCATCGCTGTCAACTGGCGCAACGACCGAGGCAACCTGAATGGTGATCATGTGGATGAGTACCGTTTTGTCATACTGTGCGGCTTCAGACGAGGCGAGACGGTCGCTGCATATCTGTGGGTGACGGCCCGCCACATCGAGCTGTGGACGACCGAGCGACGCGCTTCGAATCTACCCTCGCTCGTCTTCCGCTTCCCCCTATCAGTGCCCCTGTGGTGTCGTGTGTTGGCGCGCTTCGAGCTGGAGACCGACGTCATCAGCAGGGTGAGGGTGCTGGTGTGAGTGGTGATTGAGCGTTGGTGCATTTTATGGGTCTGCCTGTCTGAGGGGGTCGAGCAAGGGCTATGGCGATATCTGTTGATGTGTGACCGATTTTCGTGAATCGTTGATTTTTCTTTCGGAGACAGAAGCATTCTGAATGTGCACAAATAGCCTTGGATCGCTACCTTGAGAAGGAAATGATCACACAACGAATCACATACACACACTCAAAAACAATTCCCATGCCACCGGCCCCACAGTGCTGTCTTTCTACTCGTACAATTCAGAGGGACGGGTGGGTTGCGTTTTCAGTATCGAGACCGAATGGACGCAGCACGCAGCGCCATACCGGCATCGACGCAGGGTAGCGGACAGCAAACGATGCAGGCGCATCAGCAGCAGGCCGCTCAGTGGTGTACAGCTTGATGGAGCGGCCTGACGATACGCACAGATACGCAGCGATCGTCTCGTTGGGTCGGAAGCCGCTCACAAGCACACGACGAGAGTCCGTCACCCTATTATCATTCAGATCGCCCCGATCGTAGCGATAGTCGACAGCGATGCCCACATCCTCTGTGATGGCGTCGGTCCTCAGCAGACGGCCATAGCGAGGGTCGCCACGGCCAATTCCTGCAGTGAGCACCCACTTGTGACCCGCCCCCCATCCATCTGACCACAAGACGAGCAGCGTGTGCAGCAGGAATGTCGAGAATGAGGGAATGAGTAGGACGCCCTATCGGATGACAGGGTCGGTCCGCTGGTAGCCGTCAGCATAGCGATGCCCGCCCGACAGCTCAGCCAACGGCACCACACGAAACCGCCCACCGCCGATCTGATAGCTCCCATTGCCGATTCGATAGGCCCCGTTGCCGGCTCGCTGCAGCGCCAGGCTGTGTGTATTGTGTGTGAGCAGGTGGCCGAATAGCCGATAGATGGCCATCGTCAAGGGCAGATGATGGAATGCCGTCCGTCTGGGAAGGTGGGCTGTCAGCCACTGAGCCGACAGCACCAGGGGCAGCCCATTGGCAGGGATCAGCCGATAGATGGCGGCCAGCCGGATGAACCGCCCCATCCCACGCCACTCATTGCTGCCCTGCTCCAGAACATAGGCCGCCCGCAGCACATACGTGAATGGGAGAGGGGCGGTGCGGTCGATGTCGATAAGGCCGGTGAGTGAGTGGCGGGCGAGGGAGCCGTCGATGCGCTCCACCAGCAGAGCGGCCGTCACTAGAGCCGCCTTCGCTTGGCAGGTCGCTCGGACACAGACCGCCTCATGGACGAGAAGGGACGGCAGAATGCGCCTCCGCCACAAGTCGTCGGGCACCGAATCAGACATCGCCTCGAATCACTGAGTCAGCACATGGCAAACACCTTCCTGACAGCACACAGGACACACACAAGGAAGTGGGCGCCAGGTCTGTGCGACGTATGTGGTTCTTCTCTCACCCTTCCTCAGTTGAGCAGCTGCTTTGCAGGGGACACGACGACGCCGGCACAATCAAGGATGCAGGCCTCTGTTCGTCACCCGCAAAGATCAACGGCCCTCCCTTCGCTTCCCCAGCGAAATTCACGAATTTGCGCTCTACCGCGAATCTCGACGGGGACGGGACGGCCTTCTTCGCAATTTTCTGATTTCGTTTGCCATCGGATTCTCCGCGCTTGTGGGCCCTTTTACTCTTTGTGGGTGTTCTATGGCCTTTCACCTTCGTGTGTCCGTTCTCAGGCTCTGCAGGGAGCGGCTCCTGGGTCATGTGCATCAGCCAGCACAACGACCACATATGGTGGCGGGGAGATGACGGAGTTCAACACGCATGAGGGAGGCCCTGTTGTGTTGCGGGTGGCATGCGGATGGATACCTGGAGGAAGAGCACGCCGATAAGCAGGCAGGCGAGGAGGGAAAGGAGCGGCATACAAACGCTAATTCCCTCTGTCGTCCTACTGATGCTTGAATGCAGGCATTGCTGCAGCCATCGATACACTGCACGACCTGTGTGTGTCTGCGTGTCCGTGTGTACGTTTGCATGGTTCTTGCAGGGTTCTCCACACACTGGATTCACCCCAGATTGGGATTCACCGCCCTGTGCACTGCGACAGCACTCCAGCCACTGACCCACGTCAACGAGCGACACCCCCGTCGGCACTGAGGCGTGCGGGAGCCCTTTGCCACCTGCACTTTCTGCGTGAGAGATATGCCGCGGCTCTGTGCAGCAGACACGACGGCTGGCGGCCGCGTTCTCGTCGAGGACGCATTGGCGTCCGTTCGTTCGAATCGCCACCGAGAGCCGGTATGCATTGCGACAATAAAGACATGTACAGGATTGAATGCTGTTTCCATGCCTGACTTTTGTGGTTCGTGCAGGTGCGTCGGCGGCTGACTGAGCAGCAGGGGGAGGAGGTCATATTGCACTGCAGGGTATGATCCATGCGCCGCATGATGACGACGGCATGTGTGTAAGGTTCGGGAATGAATGCGTTGAGATGGTCTGTGTGTACAGGAGGAGGTGGTCCAAGCTGTGCGGAGCGCCAACCTGCTCGTTGACACGAGCGTCTCGATGCGAGAGGGGCTCCAAGGCTGCGCAGAGGTCTTATTCAACCAAACCACCCACAGCCACATCGCCTACAAGGTGTTCAAGACTTACGAAACCGACGAGCCCAGGGTACGTGAGGGTCACGGTGGGGCTGGCGGCATGCGTGGGTGTCACAAGAATGTGTGTGTATGTGTGTGCGGGTCGCAGGACGCTGAGGGGTTTGTGAGGAATGGGTGGGACATCTCAGCGGCAGCAGGTGTGAGCCACGAGAACGTGGTCAGCGCCCCTCACATTCTCAAGGTCCGCACCCCCTACGCGACCGTCAAGGCGATAGTCATGCACTACTGCAATGGTATGCACGAGTCGAGACATGCACCAGTGCCCGCGTATCCATGAATTCGGACATTGTTGCGAATGCCTCTCTCCTTCATGTAGGCGGCACCCTTGCAGACCGAGAGTTCGTACTAGTGCCACTGCTGCGGCAAGCGCTGGCCGCCCTCAAGCACCTGCACGAGAAAGGCATCGCCCACACTGATGTTCTGGTACGGATGGATGAATGTGTGGATGGGATTTACTCATTCTGTATGTGTCCGTTCATCTATTCATCCAGGGGTCCAGGGAGTGCCCTGGGGGCAATCTGGGTATAGTCATGGACGCCGCCACCAGACAGGCCCGCCTGGTGCTGCTTGACCTCGACCGCGCAGAAAGACACGACCCCACAGCCAAAGACTTTGTAAGAGACATGTCTTCCTCAAGGCAGGCAGCTAGCGACGGCACTTCGAATCGCTCATGCGCCGTGCTCTTCCTCTGCTTGTCTATTGTGCAGGCGGCCGAGGCTCAAGGAGACTGCGAGGACCTGGGCACCGTATTCGACCACCTGTTGGGCGAGACGAGGGTCAGACGCACATGCCTACACCCACAAATCAATTGCACTCACGGCTCATTCTGGGGTTGACATGCAGTCACTCGTATGCGCCGAGATTGTCAGGAGGCTGGAGAACGGACTATACAGCGCCAAGAAGGTGAGAAGGAAGTACATCTCTCACGTCTCTCCTGTCGTTTTTACTCTTCTCGTGTCTGGTTTCTTCAGGCGTTGGACGATCTCGAGAGGAGGTGGACCCCCCGGCACGGCCACAAGGCCGCACAGCCGAGGCCGGCAAAGTCGCAGCAGAAGCCAAGCCACCTGAAGCCGCTTACAGTGGCGCCCTCCTCGACCCACACACACGGTGCCCGCCAGTGGGTGGGGCACTTGGTGGGTAGGGCGACGGCGGCCATCCCATCACACGAGGAGCTCAAGCGACGGGAGGACCGCACCTGGCGCGGCACGTGGAGGGGCGGCAGAGTCGCGGGAGCCAGACTAAAGGTTGACACGGGGCGTGGTGGTGTGGCGGCGGTGGCGGCTGTTGTTGCCGCTGCTGGTGGTGCGGCTCCAGCACCCCCACCACAGACACGGGCGGGAGGGGACCATTGGACATGCAAGGTGGCAGACAAGGGATGTGAAGGGACTCGAGCGGGGGTGGAAGAAATACTTCTGATTGAAGACGCCAATTGAAGTCATCTAGACCAAGGTACGAAAGGCAGACATTACAGAAGGACACAGTCCTGGAGGCACACACTGCGCCACACAGCTGTGTGTGGGTATGGCTGACAGTGTGTCTCCATGCATGGCTGCGTCTATTTTTCTGTGCCAGATGAGTTCGTTGGAGACATTGCATCAGATGCGCTGCATCCACCGAGACCAGAGCCTGAAAAACTGTAAGGAAGGATCAGATGCGAATGGAAACACCTTTGTGGATGTCTTGTATTTGCAATGGACTCATTGGCTCAGTGATCGTCGGCCCGAGGGATCCGCAGGCCCTCGGCGTGTACGTGGTGGATTACACACGGTCCTTCCGGGCGGGGATACAGGACCACGGGGCTCGGTTTGTCGGCCGACAGAGCACCATGAAGGGCACGTTGCTGTATGCGGGCGAGTGGTCGGTGAAGAGCATCGAGACTTCTTACCGGTCAGTGTCCGTCCCTGTGTGTGTGTGTGATTGGTTTTGGGGGTCATGGATGTGTGTGTGTGTGATTGCAGTGACGACCTGATGACGTGTTTCTGGGCGCTGGTGCATGTGATGGATCAAATTACATCGAGGGAGCCGGGGACGCCGCCGACGGTCTCTGCGGCATGGGGGGCGACGGGCCGAAGATGCGGGCGGCCACACGACGACTCATCGACACCCGACGAATTAACTTCCCCAAGTGGCTGCGCAAACGCGCGGCAGACCTCCCAAGTGAGCCAAAAACCTGGTGTCTCTCTTGGGTTTGCCTTGCGCCTATATATAAATGTGTGTGGTCACCTGCTCGCAGGTTCCATTCGGATGGCATTTGAGGATGGCATGCTGGACCTGTACGACACTCTCACTGGTCTGCCCTTTGGAGCCCTGACGGCCAGCACGTATGACAAAATCTTCGGCCACATCGACGCCACAATTCGCCTGTGAGTGGCCGAAACACACAGCGGGCGTGGGGCACCGATGTACAGTGGCAGGCATTTGTTATCTACGTACATGTGTGCAGGTTTGAGAGTCTGCCCCGCCAGTGCTCCTTCGGAGACGTTGCACAGAATGGGATATGTTCGAGACCAGGGCCTCAACAAGTGTAAAGAAAAGATGATACCGACTGTCTCAATGGGTAAGCGACATGGTGAGCGAATCGATGTTATGTCGTTGTACTTTTATGATGGTGTGCTGTCAACTGCAGAGCGTCGAGTTCCATCGTTGTCTGCATTTTATATCCTGTCGTCCGTGACACATTGATCCAGTGCTCCCTGTTGTGTCTCTTCACTAGCGATGGAAACCTCCGGATGACACAGTAGAGTCGACGCTGTTCGCCGACGACATTTGCTGGCTGCTCAAGTCGATCTTGAAGGGCGTATATTGTTTCGCATGGGGCACGGAGCCAAAGGACGAGAAGTCATCGAGTGTTGCTGAGGTGCTCTCAAACTGCCTCATCTCGGTCAAATGGGGTCAATGTGCCAGCGAGTGTTCCTGGGGTGCTCATGCAGTGCCTCATCTCGGTCAAGAAGTCGATAATTCTGCTTGTGGGCGGCGGCCTCATCTACTTCACCTCTCGCGCCCACCTGGGAGAACAACTCAAGCACGTGCTCAACTATTACCTTAACGCAACGCAGGTGTGAACAGAGCCACTCAGCTCTCGTCGGTCTGTGATGTGGCCACTCAGCTCTCGTCGGTCTGTGATGTGGATGCTTTGTCTGCTGCAGGACGCCACCAAGCAGCCTGACGGTTGCACTGTTCATACTGTAACATGCACTCACAATATTTGAGCTCCCTCTCCTTCCGAATGTGTGCCCATTGCCCCGCGAGATGGCGGACGAAGATGAGGTACCGATAGCGCTGAAGACTAAGTTGGCGGTACGCTAAAGGCAGGCAGGATAAGCGCATCAAGGCTGGCAAAAGTAGGCTGCGCATGAAATGCCATGAGGTGTCCCTGCAAGATTCCAACCAGAATTCTTCGTGTCCATGTGTATGCAGTAGTGCAGAAGGCCCCCCGAGATCGTAAGCGACCACGGACAACCGACAGATTGGGTCTTTAGCCGGTGGCGCGCTGACTGTCTGTCTGTCTGTCTCTGTCTCTCTCTGTGTCTGGCCCGCGTGTCTCTCTCTCCGCAGCTCGGCCCACGCAGGCCAGCGCAGGCAGCAAATTGCAGGAGCTGCTTGACGACGAAGAAGACAGTGAAGAGGAAGAGGAAGAGAGCCGCCGCCCCAACGACGATGACCGCTGGATGCAATCCGAGTCAGAAGACAGTGCTAAGCTACTCCCCGAAGCGCGTGCCGGCACTGTGCAAGATGCGGCTAAAAGGTACGGACATACAAAACACATCTGCCTACTTACTTCAGTGTGTGGATGTATGTATGTGTCTCTTCGTAACAATCAACCAGGATGGCACGTTGTCTTCTGGGGGGTCCCGAGGAAGGCCAAGGCATGCATGGACGGAAAGAGGCACCAAAAAATGGGCTGTGCGTAAGTTGTGTGTGTGTGGCTTGGTTGCAGGGGAGCATGAAACAAAAGTTGCTCACCGATACGGTCAGATGCTCAAGACTCTAAATGAACCAAAGGTGAAAGCGATGAAGCTGAAAATCAAGGTCGCGTATACTTGGTACCTGCCCATTCCTTTCCTCATTGTCCCTGTTCCATTCATCTTATACTGATGCACACAGGTGGGAATAAGCATCTGTCGCCGTTCCACCGTCCCGCCCACCCCCCTCAACCGGCCACCAACACACAATCGTACACACAGAGCAACAGCAGCCCGTCACCCTCTCCCCCACCCGATGCGCAAGGCACTGTGTCGACGGCGAGTACAGCAGCGGGTGGTGGTGGGCGTGGTAGGGGTGCAGTGGTGATGCCAGCCCGTCAGGGCGCAATGGAAGGGGGAATTCACTCGGCGGGTGAGATGAGGGATGGATATGTGTCCGTGAGTGCATTCTAGGAACAGAGAGGGAAAGGCTATGCTGGCCTGACTGCATTGTCTTTTTCTTTCAGGAAGTGTCGTCGGTGGCAGCATCTTCACGGCGGAAGAGATAGAACTCATCAAATCGCACAACAAGACCGAGGGCTACAAAGTGGTCCTGCTGATGGGCAAACCCGGCTCAGGCAAGCACGCGTGTCTCTCGATGTGGATGGATGGTGGAAAGTGTGTTTTCTTGTGTCTCGTGTGTTGATGCAGGCAAGAGTTCGATTGCCAACGACTTCAGCGCGCGGCGGTGGAATGTGGTCACGGTCACCAACAAAACCAAAACGATGGCGGACTGCATAGACAGTGAGCAAACGGACAGGCAGGCTGGCAGGCATGACTGTATAGCGGTTGATGTGTTGCTGTGAGGTGTGCGTGTGTGTGTGTGCGTGTGTGTGTGTATGCAGAGGTTGAAGATTGCCTCTCGGCGGGCCAGCGTGTGGTGGTGGATCGCGTCAACTTCACAGCCGGTGATCGGGATGTCTCGGTGGTGGCTAGTCGGTGTGGGTGAGTGGAACTTGATTGCTGGACACCCACACACATAACTGCAGAGGTTGCGGATCGCTTGAATGGCGAGTAATGGCGAGGACACAATGGCGAGGAAAGGGAGCATCAAGAGAGCATTAACTGACTCCCCCCTTATACTCTTAATCGCTGCTTACATTTTATATCTTTTGTCGGTGGATGCGAAGCCTAGAGATGCGTGTTACATATGGATGGATACCGGCTCTGGAAACGTTTTGGGCTTCGACATGAAATATCCATCAAGGTTTGGTGTTCATATAGTTGGGCACGACGGATGGAGTGAGAGAGGGAGAGAAGGGGAGAGCCTGTGCATGCATGTGTGTTGCCTGCCGTAGCTGGACGGGTGTGGGGTGTTTGAATCCGGCCAGCCCGTCTGTCTGTCTGTCTGTCTGCCTGCACGTCGACTCACCAACAGCCGAGCATGCTTAATTTCTCCTCTCTCTTGCTCCTTGTTCGGTGACTTCCTTCTTATTGGATGACCATTAATGTGCGTCCACCAAAGAGATATGGATGTGGTATATCAATGCACTTATTCTTATTCATTCACTCATGTGAGTGGAGCGCCCAGTCAGTGAATATGAGAAAAACGAGTGCAAACATTGACCCACCCAAACCCATTCGGTCAGACAGACAGTCTCAAACGTGTGCTGAAACTATATGGCCATCAACTGTTGTCTGTCTGTCTGTTTAGCCGATTGAATCGGTCTGTCCTCGCTCATCCTTCTCCACGCACAAATACGCCAGCCACCAACCCTCACCGCATCACCGTCCCCCTGTCGATGACGTCACGCTCGAGATTGAACGGCCGCAGCGCACGGCGCCATAGGGGCACCGTCACGAGATAGCGGACAGCGAGGGATGCAGGCCGATCAGCAGCAGGCGCCTCGGTCGTCTGCAGCTCGATGCAGCCAGGCCCCACCCAGAAATTGGCAGTGACGGTCTCGTTCGAGCGGAAGCCACTCACAATGACAAAGCGATAGTCGGTCACATCAGCAGCATTCAGATTGCCCCCGTCATTGCGATTGTCGACAGCGATGCCCAAATCCTCTGTGATGCCCTCAGTCCTCAGAAGACGGTCATAGCGAGGGTCGTCACGGCCGATCTGTGCACGCAGCACCCTCTTGTCATCAATGTCCTCTTGACAGCACCACGTCCAGAGCAGCCTGTTCAGCAGGAATGCCGAGAATGAGGGAATGAGTAGGATGCCCCAGCGGATGGCGGGATCACTCCGCTTGTAGCCCTCAGCATAGCGATGGCCGCCCGGCAGGCCACCCAGCACAAAAAACCTCACATCGCCGATCCAGTATCTCCCGTTGCCGTTGTCGTTGGCTTGCTGCAGTGCCAGGCGGGTCCCTCTGTATGTCAGCTGCTGGCCGAACAGCCGATAGATGGCCATCGCCAATGGCAGCTGGTGGAATGCCGTCCTGCTGGGAAGGTGGGCTGTCAGCCACTAAGCCGACAGCACCAGGGGCAGCCCATTGGCAGGCGTCAGCCGATAGATGGCGGCCAGCCGAAGAAACCGCCCCATCGCCCGCCACTCCTCGCCATTGCCCCGCTCCAGCACGTAGACCACCTTCAAGCCGGCCTCCACATCACCGCCAATGTCGAAGGCCAACACGTCCGCCAGGCCGAGACGACTGAGGGCCTTGTGGATGTGCTGCTGGACGGCGTTGAGCAGGGTGCTGTTGACGGTCTCCGCAGTGTGGCCCAGCAGCTCCTGTTGCCGAGTGCGGGTGGCGAGCTGCGAGCGGAGAGCGGCTCGTTTGGCATCGTCAGTCGCCATGGCCATGGCGGCCATCTTGCTGATGGGCAATGACAGGTCAAAGAGGTCGGCGGGCTGGAAGAGGGCAGGGCTGGGGGGACGGGGCGAGGGCGCCGCACCAGTGGGCTGCATCGTGAGTGTCCTGAGCTCTCAGCGAGGCGTGCTATGAGTGATCTGCCGGCACAAACAGCAGACACACGGAGAGGGATCGCTTTGCGGCATTTGATGTTGCATCTGCCTCTCTCGCTGCCCTCTCACCTCCGATGAGTGTCTTGAGAGCTCGAAAAGGTACGGGACCACCCTTATTTGCGAGCTTGGTTTGCAGATCTATTGTCGTTTTTGCGCCGTTTTGGTGACAACAGGGCCGTGTGGAGTGTCGGGAAGATGCCCAAAGAGCCGCTGTGATGACATCGATCACCACCCATTCCGCCGCTCTGTCTGAGCGGCGCTGATATGACGCATTGAGGTGAGAGAGGGGAGGCAGGAGGGCCTTATGACATCAGCAATGACCGTAAAAATGTGTGGTCTCTGTGTGTTAATGACAGATCTGGGGAAATCTCCGGTGTGTTGGTTCGGTTGAGCGAATAGAGGAAAGGGTTCTGCCGTAGCCACATCTCTATCAGGCGGCAGCCGACTGAGGTACGGCAAGCGAAAGAGAGCCGCTCGGATGTTGACAGATCGATGAGGCGCCACAAATGCATTCGCTCATATGATGTCTGTGTTATGTCTGTCTGTGAGTGGGCAGATCATGTCGGCTGCGGCTGCTGATGGGGCTGGTGGCTCTGCAGCTGACGAGCCCTCCTCGTCGGCTGCGTCTGCCGCCAATGGTGACCAACACGTTCGCTGCAGAAAGGCACAACCATGCAGACACATGCAATGACACTGTGTGTGTGATGGTATGTGTGTTTGTGTGTGTGGGGTGGTCATAGGTGGCGATCAGCCAGAGAGCGGGCCCTTCTCGGCCGTCCCAGCTACACTCATGCCGGCCATCGCCCAGTGCCTCACCAGCTATGCCGACTTGTGTGCCTTCCGCCGCGTCGACAAAACCCGCCGTGATGCCATCACCGCCGCCGTCCTGATACCCATCCTGCAACGACTGCTGGAAGTGCTGCTGGCATCTCTCGGCCTCGGTGGCTTCCTGGTGTGCATGGTCCCCCAGCTGCCCCTCCCTGAGGCACTCAGCCACGGCTGCTGCACCGCATATCTCATCGAACAGCTCACACGTCGGCTGTTCATGCTCGAGAGGGGCGGCGATTGGGCCAGATGGCGGCCAGTGCTGGCGATGCTGTATTTCCTGAGAGGCGAGAGGCCTGTGGTGCTGAGTGACGACAACTTCGGCGTGATCAACAGCCGGGCGGCCTTTGTGAGTGAGACAGAGGCCGTCCGGCAGTGGAAGATACTCAGCCGGGGGGTCACTGTGGACCTCAACGGCCAACAGGAAAAGCTGATGAAGGGCGACAGCATTCTTCGCCCTTACGATGGCCGTTACGCCCCCGCCCTCCTCACGTCTGCCAGCCCCGTCTTCCCTCATCCATTCGACCCCGCCGATCCGCCCACACAGCTGACAGGCTGCGTATACCCCAACTACACATCAATGGTGGCCTTCAAGCTGTTCGAGTGGCTTCGCCACGGCGGCCACCTCCCTTGCATCAGACACTGGTTGTCTTACTGTCGTGCTTCTGCTGCATCTCGGCGTGTGTGTGAGCTGCTGGCGGTCCCTCCTAGCGATGTGGCACAGAGGGGGGCGGGGGCGGGGGTGTTCGACGAGAAGTGGCCGTGGTCTGGCAGGGATGGGCATCATCGCCTGGTGGTGCTGGGGAGTGGGGCGATGGGGGACGGGCACATGGCGGTCATTCAGCTGGAATTCCTCCAGCAGAGTCCAGGCTGTGTCATCATCTACACCACCGAGTCGGCCCCACACGATCAGGCGCGCACTGTTGTGATGAGAGTGCTGAGGGATCACCTAGGTCGCAAGGTGTGGCGCGGGGAGATTGAGTGGAGGCAAGCGTCGGCCAACACGAGGAGATGCACTGTAATGTGATGTGATCGGGGCTTTACCGAAACTGTGTCGAGTTTCCGACGACAGAGGGCTGCACGTGTGCTGGTGTGCGGGAGGGCCGAAAGGGAGGCGACAGACAGGCAAAGGTTCTTTTCTCTCATGGTGCATGCTGAGGATGTCTGGTGAGTGATGCATGGCGGACACACACAACTGTCTGTGTCAATCGTGTTGGATGGCAAAACGAAGGACAGTGGTTCTGCTGGCTGTATGGGTCCACACATCAGTCAGTCAGACACACACACATGATCAGCACACCCACACACCCGCTCCCATACTCACACACACATCTGTGACGGCAGCCAGACACACCACGTCCATCAACTCAATCCCTGTCCGCCATACCTCAGTGACGACATCTGACCACCACACATCCTGGCGCAGCACACGCACCACCCGCACAAAGCCCCCACACGCATCCCTCACTGTGGCCAGCCAGGCCACACACAGCCGCCGGCCACTCAGAGACAAATCGCATGCACCAGCTGTCGTGAATGAATGGAGTCGTGATGGATAAGGCCGACAGACAAGCCACACACGACGGGCGAGAGAATAGCCTCGCCGTGCAGCACGGCAGCCCAAATAAATAGACTCTCTCCTTCAGCAAAGAAGGCGCAAATCGCCACACATACTAATTAACACACACAGACACACACGCACATGCTGTCGACTACACACAGAGAATTCGTCTCACTCAAGAGTGCCATCCAGCCACACACCACACCCAGGGAGTACTTGACCCAAGGAGGAGCCAGCCACACTCCCTCCCTCCCTCCCTCCCTCCCCGCATCCCGGCCCCCCATACACATCGACGGGCGAGAATCCCGCGTGTGTACGTGGCAGCCGCGCGTCCGACCAGACAAACACTGGCTAGCCCCAACCACAAACCACCACCCCAGCCTCCACCGAACAGCCAAAGCTGTCGGTCGGTTTGGGGCCACCCTTATCTGTCTGTGAGTCGCTCACTCACTCACTCAGTGAGTCACTGCCAATGAATATACATAAAGCCCCACCACACACTAACGACTCTCGGCAATTCACATAAAATTCTTGGTTGGGGCAATTCGCAAGAAGGCATGTCCCAGTGGAGGGAGCCTGTCTTGGCATTGTGACAGACAGACAGACAGACAGACAGAGGGCCAATGAGGAGAGGGCCAGGCACTGACAACTTACTAGCCTTCCTCACACGCCATTCATGAGAACGCATGAAACGGGGTGGAATCGATCTGGGAGGGAGCAAAGCGTCGATCCATATCTCTGGGGTGACACAAAAATCTGTATCAGCGGGCCACATCACACCACACCACACCACACCGCACCACGCAGCGCAGCGCATCCAGTGTGGACAGGTAATAGGTATTCATATCAGAGATTCATCCGGCAAGTCATCAAGGAGAGCATCGTCCATCCATCCATCCATCCATCAGTCCACCCGTCAGCCCGATCCGGATAACAAACACGCGCACACAGACAGACAGACCCACACACCACACCCTTCCCTGACTCTTTGTCGCTTGCCACAATGCAATCACACGAAACGAGCCCCTTTCTATCTGGTTCTCCGCCGGCAAGCCAGACGACCTCTCTCTGCCCTGGCGCCTCCGGCGCTGCTAGTTGCGATACCCACACTCACACGCAATATCCCAACTCATCCCATCCACCTTGGCCGCACCACAAAAGACACACCAGACATATCCTATCCATCCATAGGAACGTTGACAGACCGTCAAAAGTGAAGGAGTGCATCGTGCCGGTCGGGGCCGGCGGGCGTCGAAACTGTCCTCCCTGTCGGCCAACAAACAACAAACAAAGAGCCGACAGCGCATTGCTGCCCTCTCCCCCCTCCCCATTTCACCTAGACAGACAGGTCACGTCACGCGCCAGCAATCCATCCACCGGCCTGACACAACCAGAGCAGACACACAGCCAACGTATCCATCCCGTCCACCCCTTGAGCGTGTCGCGTCATTCGGTCAGTCTGTGTCCGTCCTCACCTTCGTATCGTCGTATGCGGTGAAGGGCATGCAATTATGCAGTATCCGTGCAGGTCACGGGCAACCGAGGCCCCCGTCTGTGGCGCCGCCGTCCCAACACGCACCGCTTCTTCACCTGTGGCGGCACCGTCGCTGCGTCACCTACAGCCCCCCTAGCCCTTGCTGCTGGGGTGTGGCTCATTAGGTGGTCCCCCGGCTGACTCGCCCGACATGCGCGGGGAGCTGCTGTCCTCTGAGGACATTTTCACGTCATCGGGCGACACACACCGACCCATGGTGGTCGGCGCTGTGGATGCGGCTGCAGCAGCGGTAGCGGTAGGAGGGGACGGCACGAGTGACGGGAGTAGACAGGGCGGGGCGAGCGCCGCTCTGAAGAACACAACACACACACGAGAGACACACAGAGAGAGAGAGATGCAATGGGTGTGTGGGGTGTGTGGTGCTGACTCGGTCACCTGACTGAGTTGAACCAGGAGTGGGTGAGTGCCTCTTCGGCGGTGGGCCGATCCTGCGGTTTGAACTTGATGAGGTGCTTGAGCACTTCAATGCCGGCCGTTGACACCCTCCGGTTGACCGCCGACACGAAAGCGCTGCTACCAAACTTCTCGAAGAACTTTTCGATTCCGAACGTCATCAGGTAGCTGCATAAACACACACACACACAGAGAGAGAGAGAGAGAGATGGAGAGAGCTGCACCATGCATGGGAGCTTGGCTTACCGGAACTTGATGGCCTCTTTGTCAAAGGGGTTGGTGCGCTCGATCATGTATTCCTTGAAGAGCGGCACCGTCAAAAGGTGGAAAAATATCATGCCCACCGAAAAGATGTCGGCCTGTCCACACACACACACACACACACTTCACCCCCTCTCTCTCTCTGTGTGCCATGTCCGTGCCGTCACCTTCGGGCCGTCATAGTCCCCGCCGGTCCACATAACTGGGTCCAGGTACATGTGTTTGCCACGCCTTTTAGGGATGGGCTTGTAGGGCGACTCCCCCGGCCGTGCACTTGGGTTGGGTGTCAGCCGCTGCGCCATGCCGAAGTCGATAAGGATGGCGCAGTTCTCGCTGGGCGAGCAGTCGTAGCGCATCAGCACGTTCTCGACCGACAAATCCAGATGCACAATGCCATACTGGTGGATGAAGCGCACGCCGTCGAGGATCTGGTGGATGAGGCGCTTGAGGGTCTCCTCGGGCACCAGTCCCTCCGGCTTGATGAACTCAAACATGTCCCCGCCCTCAGCGAACTCGCTGACGAAGAAGAAGCTCTCTGTGTTCTGCCCACAGTCCATCCACGTGGCGATGTTCGTGGCCGGCCCGTTGAGCATCGACAGGTACCGAAGGCAGCCCGTGTCGCCCAGAGGCTGCTCGGTGTCGCCAGTGGCCTGGGCGTGCTGCACGAACGCCTTGGGCACCACCTTGACCGCCACGTACTTCCTCTCCTTGTGGTCGTAGCAGCAGTAGACTTTACCCTTGTTTCGTTCCGCCTCACGCAGGAGGCGCACGCACTGGTACCGTCCCTCGCCCGTCTGGTTGTTGTACTCCTGCCAGTTGCGGACGATGCAATAGTCGGTGGGCTCCCAGGGATGGCCCAGGAACCAGGGCATGTCGCCCATCCGCTGGTCGTACTGCAGACGCTGGGCGGGAGCCGCGAACGACTCGTCGAGCAACATCTACACACACACACACAAAGAGTCAGCCGGAAGCGCGTGTGTATGCGTTGGAGCGTCAGGGTGCTGTGTGCTGTGTGTGTGCGTGTGTGCGGTTGCTCAGCTCACTTGTTCGGTGTTGCCTGCTGGGGAAGGGGGAGGGGGTGTTGCTGTTGAAGGTAGATGGATGTGGGAAGCGGCTGATGGGATCTCTTCCGCAATGGTTGGTGTCACCACAGCGCCCGCTGGCGCCTCATCAAAACAGACAGGACGCCCACAGCCGGACGCAGATGTCGAGATCACAAAGGCGCACTACTCGGCACTCTCTTCCTGCGGATGCAATCGATGCCTACGTCGCGCTGTGCTGTATGCCACAGATAACGAAGCGGCAGAAAGGAGATCTGCGGCTACGAAGCCAAGCTCGCAAACTATTGGTATGCGGGGATTTCGAGTATTTTCAAGCTTGGGCGTTCACTGGAGGGTAAGATGGCAGGAGAGGCACAAGAAATCTCAACAAACATGTTTCAAAGTTCTGTTTTTTCGTTTGTGCCTTCTTCGCTTGCAGATCTCTCAGTTGCCGGCCACCGGTGGTCATCCTCATGTCCTGACTGAGTCGTGGTGATTAATTGATGGCGTCTTCGGTGCCCGACGAGCTGTGGCGAGGGCGAGTGGTGAGGCGCCTGCCGCTGCCTGATGTGATCTCTCTCCGCAACTGCTGGTCCATCGGCACGTCCATCGTCACGGCCGCTCTGCTGGTGGAGCGCATCGACGGCTCCCTCGCCCGCCACTCACTCACCTGCCTCGTCGACATCGACCGCGCCGCCCCTCTCCCATTCAGCTATATGCTGCGGGCGGCCTATGTGCTGGAGCAGGGCAGCGACGAGTGGCCTGGGATGGGGCGGTTCATCCGGCTGGCCGCCATCTATCGGCTGACGCCTGCCAATGGCTGCCCCTGGTGCTGTCGGCTCAGTGGCTGACAGCCCACCTTCCCAGCAGGACGGCATTCCACCAGCTGCCATTGGCGATGGCCATCTATCGGCTGTTCGGCCACCTGCTCACAAACAATGGGCTGCCTCTCCGTCTGTCGGCTGACTCGCTGCCCACAGCAACGGCCTTCCACCGGATACCACTCGCCATGGCCATCTATCGGCTGTTCCGCCACCTGCTGACATACGGATTCAACAGCCTGGCGCTGCAGCCAGCGGACAACGGACGGTATCGGATCGGCTATTTGCCCGTTCGTGTGGTGCCATTGGGTGAGCTGCCGAGCGGCCATCGCTATGCTGAGGGCTACAAGCGGACCGACCCCGTCATCCGGTGCGGCTCCCTGCTCTTCCGCTCATTCTCGGCATTCCTGCTGCACACGATGATCTGCTGGTGCCGTCAAGAAAAGGGGTGGGCGAGATGAGGGTGCTGGGGGCACGCATCGGTAGTGAGGACCCTCGGTATGGCCGTCTGCCGAGGGCCGACAACATCACAGAGAATCTGGGCATTACTGCCGACTGCTAGGGCTATCGCTACGATTGGGGCGACCTGAATGGTGCTCATGGGAGAGACTGTCGTCATGTAATTGTGAGCGGATTCCGGCTCGGGGAGACCCTCGCTGCGCACCTGCATGTGAAGGGTGGTTACATCAACCTGTACACGACCGAGGCATTCGTGGCTGATCGGTCTCAGCCTCTCGCCGACCGCTACACTGTGTCGGTTGGTGCCGCCCGCCGTGTGCTACGGCTATTCGGTCTCGAAAGCGACGTCATCGACAGGGGGACGGTGTACGGGTGAGGGTTGCAGCACATGTGCTGGCCGGACCGAGGCACCCAGAGAGGCCTCTGATAGCGCCATACGGCCTCTTTTCTTGAGAGTTCTTATTCGACGCGAGTGGGGGCTGTTTCCGATGAAATGTGAAATGGCGGCTGGAGGCTGGAGAGCCCCCTGAAGCAGTCCATCGGGTGTGTGAGGGAGGGAGGGAGGGCCATTCGAGGGCCAATCGCCTGATGAGGACCCCTACGAAGGTGTGTATCAGGTGTCCGCTGTTGCAGTGGGCATCGTGTTGCAGTCTTCTCTCGCGAATACGTCTTCTCTCTCTCTCTCTCTCTCTCTCTGTCTGTGTGTGTGTGTGTGTGTGTGCGTGTGTGTGAATGCGGCACATTCTACAGCGCTCCGGGTTTTGTCGGCTCCTGCAGCCTCAATGGCGTCTACACACCGAGAATGCTCAACACGACGTACGCCTACACCTGTCTGCACGCACCCACCGGTGAATGGATGTCAGTGTCTGTCTGTGTGTATCGGTGTTGGTGCAGGGTTATGGCTTCCACCGCAACACGGCCCCGCCCAGATTCACTTCGGGGGCATCTCGTCGAGCGGCTGTGAGAGCATCATGCCCGACGACGAGCTGCGGCTGCCGGATGCCAGCTGGGCCACAGGATCCATGTGGAGGTGAGATCGTCGTATAACATCCCCATCCACTTCAATGTGGCTCTACCCATGGCGAGTGCCAGGCGAGCAGCGGCATGAACTTCTTCGGCTCTGCATGGCCGCAGCCGTCTTCTTCGCAGCACTCTCACTCATTCTCGCCATACAGGTGGGCCACACAAATCTGATCAACCTTCTCAGTGGGCTCTGCTGGCTCTCTCTCTGTGTATGGGTGTAGGTGTGTGACTATCGTGCGACGCATGGATACGCACAGCAAGATCCGCTACTCGCTGCTCAACTTCCACCCCCAGCGTCCCCCAGCCGTCACCGGTCCTCATCTCGTCGCAGCACGCGGCCACCCCGCCCACCCCCGGACACATGCACCACCACCACCACCACCACATGGGGGTGGGGCCAACAGGACTGCCCGCTGGCGACTCTTTTTGAGGGCAGGAGTCTGGCAGGGGTGCCGGCCATTCTTCCTGGGACGGTGACGGAGGGATACAGGGCGTTTTGGTGTGGGTATGGGCTGTCCGATTTGCGGAGATATGTTGGTGGAACATGGGCATTGTCGGCAATATGTATTGTCTGGTGTGTGGTGAGTGGGAAAGGGACATGCAACGATTGCTGCGAACATTTGGTTAGGTCGATAGACATGTATTCGAGCGATGGACGGAAGGATGTTTGTGCGGTCAACCAATCACTGACTGAGTTATGGGCATGAACTACGCACACAGGATGGAGTGCACACCGAGAAGACGGCAGGAAGGCCGTCACGCCACTCCATCCGTATCCTTCCACAGAGGGAGAGAGAGAGACAGACTCTCCACTCAGCAGGCCACCACTCTGTCTCTGCCTCACTATCCCACTCACACACTTGGCATCTCGGCGGTGACTGCGTGGCTTCAAAGCCATGCAGTCAAGTGAGTCCGACAGGAACGACTAGGACATTCGCCCACCCACCCATGGCACACAATGCAGTTAATCACCCATTTCACATCACTCGGTCTCCTTCCACCACTGCTCGTCAGGCAGACAGACAGCCCTCCCTCTCCACCCATCAAACACACCAACAACACCCCAATCGCCAGCCAACATCCCTCACCGCAGCACCGTCCCCCTGTCGATGACGGCACTCTCCAGTTCGAATCGCCGCAGCAGACGGCGGGCGGCACCAACCGACTCTCGGAAGCGGTCTGCGAGCGGATGAGACCGATCGTGGCCAACAGGTGCCTCGGTCGTGCACAGCTGGATGTCGCCGTAGCGCATCCACAGGGCTGCAGCGACGGTGTGGCCAGGGCGGAAGCCGCTCACAATCACACAACGATAGTCCGTCGCATTTGTAGCATCATTCAGATCGCCCCGATCCAAGCGCCCGTCGATAGCGATGCCCACATCCTCTGTGATGTCGTCAGTCCTCAGCAGACGGCCATAGCGAGGGTCATCACTGCCGATGTCTATACGGAGCGCCCTCCTCTCGCCCACCCCCTCTCCATAGCACCACCAGGAGAGCAGCGCGTGTAGCAGGAAGGCCGAGAAGCAGGGGTAGAGCCTGGCGCCCCAGCGGATGACAGGGTCGGTCCGCTTGTAGCCGTCAGCATAGCGATGGCCGCCCGGCAGCTCACCCAATGGCACCACACGAAACAGACCCACACCGCCGATGCGATAGTGGCCGTTGTCGGCTTGCCGCAGCGCCAGGCTGGTCCCTCTGTATATGAGCTGCTGGCCGACGATCTTGTAGATGGCCAGTGCGAGTAAGAGCTGGTGGAAGGCCGTTGCTGTGGGCAATGCGTCGGCCGACAGACGGAGGGGCCGCGTCGCATTGATAGGGGTCAGCCGTTAGATGAAGGCCAGCCGAAGGAACCGCCCCATCGCCCGCCACTCCTCGCCACTGCCCCACTCCAGCACATAGACCACCTTCAAGCCGGCCTCCATATCACCGCCAATGTCGAAGGCTAACACGTCCGCCAGGCCGAGACGACTGAGGGCCTTGTGGATATGCTGCTGGACGGCGTTGAGCAGGGTGCTGTTGACGGTCTCCGCAGTGTGGCCCAGCAGCTCCTGTTGCCGAGTGCGGGTGGCGATCTGTGAGCGGAGAGCGGCTCGTTTGGCATCGTCAGTCGCCATGGCCATGGCGGCCATCTTGCTGATGGGCAATGACAGGTCAAAGAGGTCGGCGGGCTGGAAGAGGGCAGGGCTGGCGGGACGGGACGAGGAGTGGGCCGCACCAGTGGGCTGCATCGGGAGTGTCCTGAGGCCTCAGCGAAGCGTCACACGAGAGATCTGCAGACACACACAACAGACACACGGAAAGGGATCGGTTTGCGGCGCTCCGACGCTTTGTCTGCCTCTCTCGCTGCCCTCTCACCTCCGATGAGTGTCTTGAGGGCTTGACAGGGTCCAAAACCGCCGAGATCTTTTCGGGCTCTTTGCGAGCTTGCCAGTGGAGCCGCAGACTTTTTTCGATGAAGAGCGGCGTGGAGTGCCTAAGAGGTGATCAAAGAGCCGCTGTGATGACATCGATCCAGACAGATGTGGCCGTCATCTCTCTGACCGACGCTGATCTGACGAACTGAGGTGAGAGAGGGCGGGCAGGAGGGCCTGATGACATCAGCAATGGCAGCCTGTGTGGCTTCTGTGTGTGTTTGTCGCAGATCTGTGGCTCACAAGGGCCTCTTCGTCCGGCATGCTTAGTCTATGGCGGTGGCTGAAGGGCCTGTGCACGGTGAGGCGAGCGGCCAAGGACAGCACCGGCGTGATGCCTGTCTGTGTGTCTGTCCGTCTGTCTGTCTGTCTGGGTGTTGATTGCAGACATCGGCTGCTCGTGACGGTGCTGGCATATTGACTAAGAACACGACATCGTCCGCTGCGTCTGCCGCCAATGGTGACCAACACGTTCGCTGCAGAGAAGGGACAGTCATGCCGGCACACAGCTGTCTGCCTGTTTGTGTGTTTGGCATGTTGCAGGTGCGGTCAGTGCATCGCCCGTCGACCACCACCAGCAGCATCAGCATGATCCCCTTGTCAGTGCCGCTGATGTGCCTGAGGAGGCAATGGCAACAGTTGCCGAGTACGTCAGGAGCTACTCACAGCTGGAGGCCCTCATCGACGCCCATCCCACCCAATTCACCGCCGCCGTCCTGCTGCCCATTCTCACCCGACTGCTGCCCGTCGTGGTGGACGCCGTCTTTGGCGGCCTGGTGGAGGTGCCGATGCCTCAACTGACCCAGAGTGTGTCCATCATAGTGGCCACCACACGTCGGCTCTTCATCCTCGAGAGGGGCGGCAACTGGGACAGATGGCGGCCAGTGCTGGAGATGCTGTACTTGCTGAGGGGCAAGAGGCCTTTGGTGCTGGGTGACGACAACTTTGCTGTGTTCGGCAGCCGGGCGGCCTTCCTCGGCAAGAGGGAGGCCGTCCGGCAGTGGAAGATACTCAGCCGGGGGATCACTGTCACTGATCATGGAGGACAATAGAGACGACTGATGGACGGCGACGGCATCCTCTGCCCTTACAGTGGCCGTTTCGCCCCCACCCTCCTCCGAGTCACCTTTGCCAGCCGTCTCTTTCCTCATGTGCCATTCGACCCCGCCGACCCGCCCACACAGCTGGAAATCCCGACGTACCCCAACTGCATCTGGATCTCATAGTCTAGCAGGCGAATCTTCTCTGCGGCCTCCGTGGCGGACAGCGGAGGGGTGTTGTCGATGTCAATAGGGTCGGCGGCCGTCGGTTTGCGTGTGGGGGAGGTGGGCTGCATGGTCGAGAGGGGATGATCGGGGTACACGGTGGGGTTCAAGTCGTGGGCGGGGCGTTTTTGCTGGTGAGGGCGACGACCACAGCCCGAGCAAGGAGTGAGGTTCACACACCTGTGGCAGCGAGAGCGAGGGTCGCACGTGGCGGCCGTCCAAGTAGGGGCAAATGGGGACGACAGCCGGCAAGGGACGTCTCGTTCGAGAACGGGGGACACAACGGCGAAGGCCCGAGGGTGAGCAGGGCCGCGGGGGAAGCGTGTGATGAGACATCTCCAGCTCAGATCTGCAAGCTCAAAGTTGGGGTGAATCTGCATCTTGGAGTCGCAGTGGCTTCCCGTGTGTCTTGGCCTGCTGCATTTGACTCGGCATCTGTGGCGCTACGCTGTGTTTCCAATTGTGTGTTGTCGATGGGCAGCAATGACGGCTGGCGGCGTTGAGATGGGTCTCTCGCATGCGGTTCACCGTCACCTCTCTCTCCTGACGCTCGTCTGACGAATTGAGGTACGAGAGGACACTGGCATGACACTGTGTGTGTCATCTTTTTCTGTGTGGCTGTGGCTGATCTGAGGCCTTCTTGCGTCTATGCTGTTGAGTGAGGGTGGGCGAGAGAAGTCTGTCGCAGCCAGCTGACTTACTTACATCCCCAGGAGCCGACTGAGGTGCGGAAAGGGCAAGAAAGCCACACTGATGTTCACATATCGATGAGGCGCCACCAATGCATTCGCTCATATGATGTCTGTGTTTTGTGTGTTTGTGTGAGCAGATGTCGGCTGCTGATGGAGCTGGTGGCTCTGCTAACGAGCCATCCTCGTCGGCTGCGTCGGCAGCTGGCAATGGTACCAAAGACTTCCGCTGCACAGAAGCACAACCATGCAGACAGACATGTGCGTGGCGGGCGTGTTTCAGGTGCCGGCAATGCACCTTCTGCCCACCAGCAGCAGCAGCATGATCGCCCCATCAGTGCCTCTGATGTGCCGCAAGATCTCGCACCAACAGTTGCCGAGTACGTCAGGAGCTACGCGCAGCTGGAGGCCCTCATCGCCGCCCATCCCACCCAATTCACCGCCGCCGTCCTGCTGCCCATCCTCACACGCCTGCTGCCCGTCGTAGTGGAGGCCATGTTCGGTGTGTTGGTGGAGGTCCCCATCCCTCAGTTGGCCCTGGAAGTTGCTGCTTTGGTGCCTTCCCCTCATCGCAGCGCCCTTCCGCTTCTCGCGATGCGTCTGCTGGGTGTGCTGCTGCCCATTGTCGGCCTCGGCTCATTCCTGGTGTGGATCATCCCCCGGCTGCCCCTCCCTCAGTCACTCAGCCACGGCTGCCGCATGGCATACCTCATCGAACAGCTCACACGCCGGCTGAAGAGGCTGGAGAGGCTGGAGAGGGGCCGCGATTGGGGGAGGTGGCCGCCCCATTTGGAGATGCTTTATCTGCTGAGGGGCAAGCGGCCTTTGGTGTTGAGTGGCGACAACTTTGGTGTGTTCGGCAGCCGGGCGGCCTTCGTGAGTGAGACAGAGGCGGTCCGGCAGTGGAAGATACTCAGCCGGGGGGTCACCGTCAGTTTTGGAGGACAACAGATACGACTGATGGACGGCGACAGCATCTTTCACCCCCCCAATGACCCTTCCGCCCCCACGCTCCTGACGTCTGCCAGCGCCCGCTTCCGCTTCCCTGATCCATTCGACCGCGCCAACCCGCCCACACAGTTACCCCTCTGGACGTACCGCAGCTACACATCAATGGTGGCATTCGTCCTGTTCGACTTGCTTTATGACGGCGGCCGCGTCCGTTGGATAAAATTCTGGACGTCTTGCCATCCTGCTTCTGCTGCATCTCAGCGTGTGTGTGAGCTGCTGACGGCCTCTGCCAGCGATGCGGCACAGTGGGGGCCGGGGGTGGCCGTGTTCGACAAGAAGTGGTCTGACGGGGCGGCGGTACGACGTCATCGGCTGGTGGTGGTGGGGAGTGAGGTGATGGGCGAGGGACACATGGCAGCGATAAATTGGCTGATGGATGGGGAGGGGCATCAACGGCTGGTGGTGTTTGGGAGTAAGGCGATGGGGGACGGGCACATGGCGATCATTCAGCTGGCCGACTGGGGGGATTGTTCCCGCTCTGTTACCATCCGCACGACCGAGTCGGCCCCCCACGACAAGACGCGCACTGCCGTGATGAGAATGCTGGGGGATCACCTGGGGGGCAAGGTGTGGCGGGGAGAGTGGGAGAGGTAGTGGGTGGGTGCCGGAGTCTCTCCACCAACAGTCATTGTGAGATCGTTCTTCGTCATTTTAAGCTGAGAAACTGTGGGCGAGCCGACGGCCAACACGAGGAGATGCACTGTGATGTGATCGGGGGCTTTATCGCTGTGTCGCTCTCAAGCAGGAGAGGACACCGACAGATAGACGGCCGGGCACAACGGGTTTTTGCTCTCTGCCCGTCCGGTTGCCTGGGGCCTCTGCGTGTGCCTTTCCTTGACAGTATGAGAGGGAACAAAGGCAGAGTTAAGTGGTTTTTCTGTTCTGTTGCTGCCCTTCCTGCTGTGAGCTTCGTCCTCGTCGTGTATCTGTACGCTCATCTGTAGGTGTTAGAACAGAGCTCTATGTGTGTGTGTGTGAGTGTGTGTGTGTACTGTAAGTTTTACAGTGAGGTAAGACCGATCCTGTGTCACACAGATTGAGTGAAATGAGTGCATTTCTGCCCATTGGATTGGATGGACCAACTAACCACAGTAACACGGCCATCCGTTGGTCGGGTCGAGGGAGTCAGAGTGTTCTATATACACACACAGACATGTGCACCCACAAAAGATACCATCACCCGCATCTGTGCAATCAAAAACCACACACTCATTCAGAGCCATTTACGGCGGCCCTGAGTTCTTCGACGAGCGGCGGACTCCACACAGGCAGCCCATCCACACTCCACGCACACGCCACCTAAACCACAGACAGACAGACAGACAGAGAGGGATGAACACATGCATCTGACTCCCACACACACACTGACCTCTTCATCGAAAGGAATGCGCCATTGTCTGAAGTATTGCCTGAGGTCATGTTTGGCCGCCCGGCTCAGCCGCACCACCCACTGCACACGCTTGTCGCCGTCGCTCGCCGGCCGCTCGCTGGCCGGGAGATGACGGTACTCCTCAAACACACACATATACACCTCCCAGCCAAAACTGACACAGACACATCATCAGACAGAGAGAGAGAGATGCAGACAGACACGAGCATGCGGCCGGCCGCTTGCTTACTGTTTCTGTAGGTAAGCGTATGAGACGAGTGCGAGCCCGGGGTCTCTGCACCAGTGGCCGCTGAACGTCTGTGAGGTGTCTGTGAGGTACTTGAGGGCGCTGGAGAGGTGCCCACGCAGCCAGGGGGCATCCCATGCAGGTATGCCCAGCACCTGGTCCATGGTGAACAGCGAGAAGAGATTGACAGTGACCTCCTCAGTCCCCCTGAACGTCCACTCTCTCTCCTGCCTGCACACACACACATACAGAGACACACACACACACACAGAGAGAGAGAGAGAGATACGTGGCCCTGCAGCCACCCTCGAGCACACAAACACACATGTGTACCTGTTGTGGCCGAGCTCGTGGAAGAGCCCCCAGGTGCCCTTCTGTCTGATGGCAGGGATGTCGACGATCGGCGGTGCCCCGTCGGCCATCTTGACGCCGGGCGGGCGGGCCACGTCCATGTGACACATTATGGGGTAGCCCGAGTGCATGTAGCCTGCACACACAGGTGGGTGTCTGGGAGAGGGGAGGGAGGGGGGCTCTTGCTGCTTTCACCCACCACAGGTGATTTGGACGTCGGGCACAATTCGTTCCTTGCGTGAGGGGTAGGGCCATCGGCACGACAGCACCAGCTGCGCCTCAACCACACTGTCCCTGCACCCATCCGTCCACACGCATCGCATCATGTCTGCCTGATGCTGTGGATTCACTGACCAGAATTCGACCACCTCTCGGGGATCCTCCACCTTCTCTAGAGTGCTCCTGGGCAGAGAAATCACCACTCTTCGCCCCTCCAGCTCCCCCCACGGCCCCCCGTAGCACACTCGCTCACGCCACGACGAACGACGCCCATACGGATACCCCACACAAGGGCCGGCCGTCTCTCCCTTCGTCTCTTCGCGCTCTTCGTGTTCGAGAGAGTACCACGGACACAGGACGCCCCCACTGAGTGTGACCGTCGTTGGTGCGCCGTCGGAGGGCGTGCTGGTGTTGTGTGTGCTGTGGCTGCATTCGATGTAAAGGAGGCCGCCGAAGGGTGTGGCGGTGGTGAGACTGTGGTCGTGGGCAGGGTCCCATGCGACGGCGTGGGTGACGTTTGGCCATCGCTTGAGGGGCGTCTGGGTGACCTTGTCGGTGTGGCAGCCGATGCGCACCGTCAGGCGGCCTGCAGGCACACACATGACATCGATGATATGGATCGACCCATGCCGACAGAGAGAGTGCGTGTATGCTCATGTGTCTGTGTGTGTTTCTGCTAACATTTTATCTCAGTATTGCCGACGAGGGCGTCCACAAAGCCGCGCAGCGCCCCTCCTCTCCTTCTCGCCCCACACGTCAGCTTGATGACCTCACCAGGTGGCACATACACACCTGCACACACACACACACACACACACTCACAACATGAGACACACGCCCCCCTGCCCACCTGCCCACCTACCAGTGCTCTGCCATCCCAGGCGTGAAGGGTCGATCTGAATGGGGAAGGCATGCAGCCGGGGGCAGTCGACGGCCACGCTGCCCAGCAGGCCCTCAATGCCCGGCGCACGAGGCACCCCCTCCAGCGGCATCGATCGCCACGTCCGGTCGAAGCAGATGACCTTCACGCCGTTGACCACATCACGCAGGCTCCTGTTGCCCAGCGGCCACTCGATGCCGTCCAATGGGCCACCACCACCACCACCACCACCGCCACAGGCAGCAGAGCAGAAGACCTCACGCGCACTGCCGACGAGCTGGCGGCATGCGTGTGTGGGGTTCGGTGTGGGCGTCTGCTGGTCTTGTGTGAAGATGGTTTGGAGAGTGTGTAGGGGGAGGCTGGGGAGGGACGAGCACAGGAGGGGGTAGACCACATCCGAGACCTCCTCGCCGTTCCTGCACACACACACACACCACAGAGTGATGCATCATTGCGTGTTCTGTGCGTGGGTCTGCTCACTGTGCGGCCGATTTGCACGCTTCCATTGCGTCGGCGACGTTCCGCTTGCACCATGGGTGTGAGTCGTCACACACAAAGACGTCCCCATGGCTGTACTGGTTGGTGTAGTTGAGACCGACATGCTGCAGCACCGCGTTCTGGAGGGACTCTGACCTCACACACCTTCAACACACACACACACACACACGCACACACAAGAGTCAGGAATCGATGGAAGACGTTTCATCTTACCTGTTGCCGGCGACTTGCTCCCACCCCCAGGGACACAGCCCGACGAGGAGGCCGCCCCCCGTGTGGACATACTTGACCAGCGCCCTCACTCTCGGATCATCACACGAACTGACACAGACAAAGCACCCAGGGAAACAAGGAGAGAAATACCCGCTCTCTGTGCGCTCTGTGTTCGTGTGGTGCTGATGGTCTTCTCCCTACCTGATTATCTCCTGTCTGGCGTCATACCACGGCGCGAGAACAATCACCGACGGACGTCGCTGCCTCTGCACGAGAGCCACCAGCCCGCCCACATCGCCAGTGTCAGCCAAGCCATCGACAGCGCCGTGAATCCACCACCGCTCCCACCCAATGACCGACACACTGATGCCGGTGGTGATCTCCCCCTTCCCGCCCCCCAGCCACCGAAGAATACTCTGCACAAACGTGCCCCCTGCCTCATTCCGAAGGTAATCCTCCTTTGCCATGGCGACCACACGGCCGTTGCCGTAGAGTGCCGCTGCAGCGATGGTCTGCTTCTCGTTGCCGATGAGTGAGAATGCGGTTGTGCTGATGACGTCGACAGTGCCTGGGACGCCTGAGCGGGGGAGGGGTGTGACGCCGTCGAGGAGGTGGGCGCGGTGAGGGCGGGGGTCGAAGGCATCGCTGTCGTCATCTGGCTGCTCGCTGAGGTCCCATGTGACAGTGCTGAGCATGAAATGGACCTCGTTCACACCTGCACACGACAGACAGACACACACACACACACACGCGTGTGCCCACCTCCCTCCCTGCCTGGTGGGTCTGTGGCTCCTACCGACATAGTGCGCTCCGTGGGTGCCGTCAAACACAAGCCGCCACCACCTCGCCCCCTCATGACCACCATCTCCATCTCCCAGGCCGATCTCGTGCCACCGAGATGAATCGTCGAGGCTCTTCGTCGCCACCTCGGTCCACTCCCCCGCCTCATCAGCACCGTGTTTGCCCTCCACCGTCACTGTCCGTGGCGTCGCATGCGCGTTGGCACACCACACACGCACACAGGCAAGCCGCTGAGGGCGGGAGAGGTCGAACGCTATGAATGCCCCGCTGACAACACACACCACACACAACACCACATATGTGTTAAATCGTCGGCAGCCCATACGCATGGCTGTGTGTGTGTGTGTGTGTGTGGTGTTACTTCGTGTGTGTGGTGGTCCACCAGTTGCCGCTGTGCAGCACCGAGGAGGCAGACGAGCACTGGTGGGAGAAATCAGAGACTGTCACACCCTCCACCTGCACACAACACAAAGAGAAGGCCGTCCATCCATCCGTCCATCCCCGCTCTCTCGTAGATGAAGGAAGGGCTGTCGCACCGGCCCATGGGCGCACCTTGGTCAGTGTTGCCCGACGATGCACCGGCATGATGTTGTGTTGTGTCCGACTCGGGACTTGGGAGGAGGGAGGGATCAGCGACAGATGCCAGAAGAAGAGTGAGGCGTCATGAAGGAGTCACTGTGGAAGTAAGTGGGCAGTCCTGTCCTGTTCGGCTCGCAGTCCAGTTTCACGACACCCTGAAACATTCCCGATTGTGTGCCGTTATGTCGCATGTGACGTGACGGCACTGTTATGGTTATGATGCCACGGCCTGAATCGCATGGATTGCATGGATGGATGGATGGATGGATGGATGTGTGGATGCTTGAGATGGCCAAGACACACTGATAGTGAGCGAGCGTTGCCGAGAGACAGACAGGCAGAAAGGCAGACAGACATCTGACTGACGTGGATGACCGAAAGGAGGACAACTCGTGTGTGTGCAGGGCTGATCAGTTAAGGGCCCATCAAGGGAGGTCACTTGAAATACACGCACACATACCCGCTCTTCAGATTCAACTAACAACCCCCCTCCTCACACAAACAAAGGCTAGCCCTCTTCTCTCCCCATGTTAGCCATAACATCGGCGACACTCACCCCACCACCGTCCCCCTGTCGATGACGTCACTCTCGAGACCGAATCGCCGCAGCAGACGGCGGGCGGCACCCACCGACTCTCGGAAGCGGTCGGCGAGCGGATGAGACCGATCGGCAGCAGATGCCTCGGTCGTGTACAGGTGGATGCGGCCATTGCACACCACCAGATACGCCGCAACGGTCTCGCTCGGCCGGAATCCGCTCACAATCACATAACGACTGTCCCTCACATTACCATGGTTCAGATTGCCCTCATCGTAGCGGAAGTCGACAGCGATGCCCTGCTCCTCTGTGATGGCGTCGGTCAGCAGACGGCCAAAGCGAGGGTCACTACTGCCGATGTTGGCCCACAGCATCCTCCTCTTGTCCTCTCCCTCTTCATGGCACCAGAGGCCGAGTACCCTGTCCAGCACCGCGTTCAGCAGGAATGCCGAGAATGAGGGGAAGAGATTGCCGCTCCACCGGATGACGGGGTCGGTCCGCTTGTAGCCGTCAGCATAGCGATGGCCGCCCGGCAGCTCACCCAACGGCACCACACGAAACGTCACGTTGCCAATCCGATAGAGTCCGTCATTGCCGATTTGCTGCAGCGCCAGGCCGGTCCCTCTGTATGGGAGCTGTCGGCCGATGATCTTGTAGATGGCCATCGCCAATGGCAGCTGGTGGAATGCCGTCCTGCTGGAAAGGTCGGCTGTCAGCCGCTGAGCCGACAGCACCAGGGGCAGCCCATTGGCAGGCGTCAGCCGATAGATGGCGGCCAGCCGGATGAACCGCCCCATCGCAAGGCCACTCGTTGCTGCCCTGCTCCAGCACATAGGCCGCCCGCAGCACATAGCTGAATGGGAGAGGGGCGGTGCGGTCGACGTCGATGAGGCCGGTGAGGGAGTGGCGAACGAGGGAGCCGTCGATGCGCTCCACCAGGAGAGCGGCCGTGACGATGGACGTGCCGATGGCGTGGGAGGAGGTGCGGAGAGAGATCACATCAGGCAGCTGCAGGCACCTCACCACCCGCCCACGCCACAGATCGTCGGGCAGCGAAAACGCCATCAATCAATCACCACGACTCAGTCAGGACTCAGGACGGGGAGGGGAAGGGGTGTACGGAATCGGCTTATGTAAGGCAATCCATCCCGCCTTTACAGATTCAGGTAAACACTCGTCTGGCTGGTGATGTCGGTGAAATCGAGTGTGAATGAGTCCATCGAGGCCATCGGTTTCGGACTGGGTCAGATCGTGGCCATTCTGTCTGGCGGCGGGGCGTATCTGGCCGATATTGTCGCTGTGCGTCTGTTTTGCCCCCCTGTTCAGCTCGCAGTCCAGTTTCACGACGCTCTTACATCCCGATGGCCCAGTGACGACTTACTTCCATGCAAGAAAGGTGTGACGTGACGGCACTGTTATGGTTATGATGCCATGGCCTGTCGCATGGATTGGATGGATGGATGGATGGATGGATGTCGATGAACGTGAGGATGCCTGAAATGGCCAGGACACGATGATAGTGAGCGAGGGCTACAGACGACACTCCACTCTCTCTCTCTCTCTCTCTGACCGAGAGAGAGAGAGAGAGACAGACAGACAGACAGAAAGAAAGACAGACAGGCATCTGACTGACGTGGATGACCGAAAGGATGCCGGGACATGCGGGGCTGATCAGTTAAGGGCCCATCAAGGGAGGTCACTTGAAATACACGCACACATGCCCGCTCTTCAGATTCAACACACAACCCTCCCCCCCTCTTCTCCTCGCACAAACAAAGGCTAGCCCTCTTCTCTCCCCATGTTAGCCATTACATTGGCGACACTCACCCCATTACCCTGCCCCATTCATGACCGCATCTTCGAGATCGAATCGCCGCAGCAGACGGCGGAGAGCACCAACCGACACCGGGTAGCGGTCGGCGGGCGGCTGAGACCGATCAGCCACATGCGTCTCGGTCGTGTGCACATCGATGATGCCATCCTCCACCCACAGGTGCGCAGCGACGGTCTGCCCTGCTTGGTGGCCGCTCAGAATCACCCGACGAGCAGCATCATTCAGATCGCCCGGTCGCTGCGATAGTCGACAGCGATGTCCAAATCCTCTGTGATGCCCTCAGTCAGCAGGCGGCCATAACGAGGGTCATGACGATCGATGGGTGCCCACAGCACCCTCCTGCGGCCCACCCCCTCTCCATCCGACCACCTGCCCAGATCCTCTGGGATGGTGTGAGTCATCAGCAGTCCGCCCTGTCTACGCAGCACCTTCCTGCGACCCACCCTCCCCTGACGGCGCCACCGGCAAAGCAGCCTCTCTAGCAGGAATGCCGAGAATGAGCGATAGAGTAGGAGACCGCGGCCGCAGCGGATGACGGGGTCGGTCCGCTTGTAGCCGTCAGCGTAGCGATGGCCGTCCGGCAGCTCATCCAATGGCACCACACGAAACAGACCCATGCTGCCGATCCGATAGGCCCCGCTGTAGGCGTCTGGCTGCAGCGCCAGGCTGTGTGTGTTGTGTGTGAGCATGTGGCCGAACAGCCGATAGATGGCCATCGCCAATGGCAGCTGGTGGAATGCCGTCCTGCTGGGAAGGTGGGCTGTCAGCCACTGAGCCGACACACACCAGGGGCAGCCCATTGGCAGGCGTCAGCCGATAGATGGCGGCCAGCCGGATGAACCCCCCCATCCCAGGCCACTCGCTGCTGCCCTGCTCCAGCACATATGCCGCCCGCAGCACATAGGTGAATGGGAGAGGGGCGGTGCGGTCGATGTCGATAAGGCCGGTGAGGGAGTGGCGGGCGAGGGAGCCGTCGATGCGCTCCACCAGCAGGGCGGCCGTGACGATGGACGTGCCGATGGCGTGGGAGGTGGTGCGGAGAGAGATCACATCAGGCAGCTGCAGGCACCTCACCACCCGCCCTCGCCACAGGTCGTCGGGCAGCGAAAACGCCATCAATCAATCACCACGACTCAGTCAGGACTCAGGACGGGGAGGGGAAGGAGTGTACGGGAATCGGGTAACGGCTGTGTTAGGGTGCTACCCTGCAACCATCCCGCCTTTACAGATTCAGGTAAACACTCGTCTGGCTGGTGATGTCGGTGAAATCGAGTGTGAATGAGTTCATCGAGGCCATCGGTTTCGGCCTTGGTCAGATCGTGGCCATTCTGTCCGGCGGCGGGGCGTATCTGGCCGATGGAGCGGAGGTGCTGGTCCTCGGCGCCATCAACTACCATCTGGGACAGGACTTGGGGCTCTCCGGCGTGGCCATGGCGGCCATGGTGTCGATAATCTTCGTTGGCGTCATGTGCGGCAACCTCCTTGCCGGCGTCATTGGCGACCACTATGGGCGGAAGCTGCCCATCTTGCTCTCCTACTCGGGCACCGTTTCATGCTCACTCGTCAGCGTAAGGCAGAGGAACGCGGCGAGAGCATGCAGCAAATACCTGATCCAGTGGCCTTGTGTGTGTGAATATGCGATGGATGCAGATAATGCTGAGTTCGTATTGGCTGATGATGGTCTGTCGCTTTCTTGTGGGAATCTCCTTTGGGATCGGAGTGCCCGCGTGGAACTCGCTGTCAGGTGAGATCAGCCGTCAGACACACCAACGGATGGATGGATGGATGGATGGATGGATTGTGTGTCGTTGGTCTCTCTCTCGTGATGGTCAGGCGAGATCACGCCCATCAGGTGGCGCCTTCTGGCGCAGTCGATAAGCCAGTCGCTCTTTTGTTTCGGAGAGATCTATGCCGCATCGACTCTATGGTTCCTCGACCCTCAGCTGAAGGTTCAGCAGCCCAGTCACATGTGCAACGTCCATCGAGGCACATCTGTGTGTGTCTGTGTCCATCCATGCAGCACGCGGACTGGCGCATCCTCGTGGCAGTGGCGAGCATCCCGTCCTTCCTCTTTCTCTTCAGTGCCCTGCTGCTGCTGACCGAATCGCCCCACTTCCTCTACACCCAGAACAAGCTCTCTGCCACCCGGGATGTGCTGATGCGGCTGGCGTGGTGGAATAGGAAGGACATCGATGTGCAGTTGCTGCAGGCACCCATGTCGCCGCTCGTCAGACAGCAATCGGCCGGAGTCGATAAGACTTTCAGGGTCAGCCAGCACGGCCAAGATGGTGTGGGGTGGGCACTCGTCGATGCGTGTGTGTGTGTGTGGCAGCAAGAGCTGCGGTCTCACTTGAAAATCATCTTCTCGCGCAAGTATTTGTTCTCGACGCTGGTGTGTTGCTTCGTGTGCTACGTGGTGAACACCGGCTTCTACGGGCTTCTGTACGCCCTCCCTCTCACCGTACCGCACATGGAGCCCATGGGTGACCCCAGCACACCACACAGCATCCATCCCACGCCGGCCGGTCTGTCTCATGGTTTGTGTCGGTGCCTGCCCTGCTGCAGGGACCACCCCAGCTGGGGCGGTATTGGGTGCAGCGATGTTTGAGCTGCTGGGGTACCCGGCAGTCTTTTTCTTCGACACGTTCTGCACCCGGATAGCTAACATAGCATCATGCTCCCTCTGTGTCGGTGAGACACCGGATATGCACACCCAAGAAGACAGAGAGAGAGAGCGAGAGAATGTCTAATGTGCATTTGTCAGGTTTGAGTCTGACGATATTCTGCGTGGCGGCCTTCCTGCATCAGACGACCATCGCACTCTGGAGCGTATCAGTGGCCAAGCTGTTCGTTGTCGCAGGTAAGTCAGCCTGACACCAACCTGGCTCCATCGCTCGGTCGGACTCTCTGTCCCTGTCTGTCTGTGCAGTGTTTGTGACGGTATATGTCTACGTGGTTGAGCTGTATCCCACGATCTGCCGTACGATGGGCACCGCCCTCTGCTTCACAGCCGGCCGCCTCGGCGCCATCTCGTCGCCGCTCACCTTCGAGCTCTTTCGCCTTATGGTCATTGGCGAGCGGGAGCCGTCAGTGCCGGGCGAGCCTCACCTAGCTTTCATGCCCTTCTTCATCTTGATTGCGACCTTGAACTTTATCACGGCCTGTCTGACGGCATTCCTGCCCTACGAGACGAAAGGCGCTCCGCTGCAGGTCAGTCAGCCAGGAGACGAACAAAGGTGTCTGCCGCAAGCTCATGTCTCTCGTGTGTCCTGCCTTGCAAACAGGCGTTCCACGAGCCCCACGAAGCCGACGAGCGGCAAGTGCGCCGCGCCATTGGGTTCAATGGCGGACAGACAGATGAGTCAAGAGCCCTCCTGGGGCCGCATTTCGGCCATCTGCAGGCGGCGGCACAGCAGCAGCAGCAGCAGCACGCAGACGCAGTCATTGAGAGGGCGGGATGAGACTGTGCGTGTCTGTCTGTCTGTCTGCTCGAGTGTGTGGGTGTCTGTTTGCCCGTACGCACGAACGCATGTGTGTGACTTGGTGTCTGTGTCACTAGACAGTGTGTGTCCACCCACTCATACGACCCCCCAGTCGCATTCACAGGATCTATCGACAGACATCACATGGCTGGCCATCATCACAACAACACACACATGTATGTCACAAGTACACACGAATGAATTGCACAACACAATGTCACTATATACTTCACACTCACACGTGGAAAACACTGCACTGCACTGCACACCTGCCTGCCTGCCTGCCTGCCCTTCCCCATCCACTCATTCAAGCCGTCTGCTCGTCCAGTGGCTCAAAGGCCGGCGTATAGATTTGCAGGTGCCCCTCCGGCTTGTTAGCCATGGCCTTGGTCGAGCCGCCCACCACATAGAACCGGCCGTCGAGCACAGCGCCCCCGGTGCCGTGTATCTGCTGAGGCAGTGCCGTGGCCTCGGTCCACTTCCAGCTGCTTGCATCTTGCTCAGCGCATGGCTGTGCTGCAAGGGCCTCCAAAGTGCTCTTCAGTCCTCCTGTGGTGTCGTCAGCTGTGTCGGTCTTGAGGGCTGCGAGTGCACTCGTGGCCTTGGCCTGCTGGTGCTGGCAGAGCCGTCGTGAGGGCAGCAGCTCGACGCTTGTGAGGGCGTAGGGGCCGGCCTGCTGGTCGATGGCGAAGACCACCTCCCCGCCGGCCACCACCACATGGTCATTCATCACCCCAACCGCAAAACCCGCTCGCATATGCTGTTAGACACACACAGAGAGACAGTCACCTGGAGTGTGCGTGTGTTGCGTCTGCATCAAGACTGACGTTCAGCTGTGGGCCGTTCGTCCACTTTGATGTGTCGGGGTCGAATATGTCGACGCTCGTGCGCTCGCTGCCGTCGGTTTCCCACTTGCCGCCAATGACCAGAAGCTCGTTGTCGAGGAAAGCGGCGCCCACATGCTCCCGCCGCCGTGGCGGGCCCTCGTCGTGCACCTCCCAGGTGAACGTGGCCGGGTCATATATCAGCATCTCGTTACCCGACAGCTCCCCGCCGACCACGTAGACCTTGCCAGTCTCGGGCTGCGTGACGGCCGCACCGGCCGCACGAGGGAGCGGCAAAGGCGGCAGCCACTCCCACTTGTCAGTCGTCGCATTGTACAAAAACGCGTTGGTCGCCGGGGCGCGATCGACCCAGTCGCCCGTGAAGCCGCCGAGTGCGATAAACGAGTCGCCGAGAGAGCCGTCCGAGTTGAGCAAGGGAGCGGCCATCAGGTGATGCCGACCTGCGTGACGTAACACACACACCATACAGACGTACAGACACTGAGGTGCGTCCTAAGCTGCCTTGCTGGCTGACCTTCGGGCATGGGGGCGACGGTCTCCCACTTTTGGGTCTTGGGGTCGTATCTCTCGACTGTTTTGCTGACATCCCCATAGCCGCCCATCGCGTATATCTGCCCACACACAACATAACACACCACACGGCACACTGATTGGATGGGCGGCTGTGCGGCGGACAGCTGTCTGCTCACCTTGCCGTCGGCGAGAGCAACCACCGCGATCTCTGCCCTGAATGGCTCCGGCATCAGCTGCCCCTCCTCCCACCCCCCCTCCGCCATAGTACAGGGCGCCAAAGTCACCGCAGTGTCATCACCAGGCCCGCGCAGCCGCCTCCTGCTCGTGTCACCCGTCGACTCACAGAGCGTGACGTTTGGCTTTTGGGCGTAGAGGACGCCGAGCTGCAGGAACACCGCAAGCAGGAACACACCTGCCCGCATTGATGTGTAGCAGCGCAGCATAGTATCGCAGCGACAATAACGGCCGTATAACGGCTGGGGGCAGCGAGCTTGGCGCGCAGTCTCCCGAAATTTTCCGATTTCGATGATGGGCATGATGATTCACTTCGGGTAAGGCATTGACACACCATGAAGGGCCGCCGACACCCATCAGTGGTCAGTCGTCATGGATTTTGTCCCCTTCTCTGCGGGCAGGTCTCTTGGAGGCGGCACCTGGAGGATTGACCGCTTTCTGCCGGCGCGGCACCCGGCCATTGCCAGTGGAGGCGACCTGCGGAAGCTCAAGAGCAACAGGGACCTCGGAGTCACCGCCAAGACATCCCGCAGCGCCAAATCGACTGGCGCATCATCGCAGCGTGTGAGCGTCGCGGCGGCCGATGAGCCGCCCACGTACGAGGTGGATCCCACGCAGCCCATCACAGCCATTGCGCTCGCACCAGGTAACGGAGGGAGCATCCACGCCACAGTGTTGTTTGATTCTATGGATCAAGGAATGATGCAGACCGGCGTGAGCTGGCAGTGGCGTATGGCGCCCTTGATGGGGGGACTGGGGTGGAGAGCCACGCAGGAGCGGAGCCGTCGGCGAGCCATCAGCACCACATCGCTCTCTGGGACATCCGAGACCCGCCGACCATCCCCATACGGCTACACGGCCATCACGGCACCATCTGGGCTCTATCGTACTCATCCGACGGCTTGAAGCTGGCTTCGGCAAGCGCTGACTTCACCGTCATGCTGTGGGACCTCGCCACGGCCAAGGAAGAGCGGAAGACGGAGGGAAAACGGATAAGAAGCCTGCTGGAAGAGCAGGGCCTCTGGGGAAAGGCCACTGCCGAGCCAACGCAAAAAGACGACAGGGGAAAGGCAAAAAAGAGGAGAAAAGACAGAGGAGGGAGGAAACAGCAGACGGAGGGCGACCATCACCAGCAGCAGGAGGGAGAGCAGGAGGACCGTGAGGACGAGGGTGGCGGGGCCGAGGGTGGAGGTGCGTGTGAGGGTGAGCCCCTCCCTGCCTCTCAGTCGACGTCGGCCAGCCGCGGCTGCGAGAGGATGGCCGTGCTGCGCTTGCACACCAATTGGGTGCTGGATGTGGCCTTCGACCCCACAGGCAAATGGGTGGGTCAGACGGTGTCCATTCTCTTTCTGCTGTCATCTCTCATTGTGTGTTTTCTGCCCGTATGCAGTTGGTGTCATGTGGAAGTGACGGCCGTCTGGTAGCGTGGGACACTGAGCTCAGGGCGGCCATGAAGCTGTGGGCCGCCCATCGCAGGACCGTCTATAAGGTCAACTTTTCGACTGACGGCAGACGGCTGGCATCTTGCGGCTCAGATGGGTCGGTCAACATGAGAACGGCACAGCGTCATGCGTCGCAGTTCATTATGCCGTCCATCTGTGCTCTGTTGATCAGGTCCTTGTGTGTGTGGAATGTGGATGCCGATTTCCAGGGGATTTGCACCCTCAGAGGTGAGACCCACACACATATGTAGGGTCTGTGTGTCCACGGTGTGTCTGTCGGCATGCGTCAGGCCACATCGGTGCTGTGCATGCTGTCCGCTTCCACCCGTCGGATCGCACACTCGTCGCAACGGGCGGAGAGGTGGGGGAAACACACACACACACATACACACATACGCAGAGAGACAGAGAGACAGAGAGGGAGAGACATGGGCATCGTGGCTCGTTTTTGTCAAGGACGGCACGGTGCGATTGTGGGACTTGAATGACTTCGTCCGCGACTACCTGAAGCTGGTGAAGCTGGGCCTCACTGACGACCCAGAGGCGCTCAACGAGCTGACCTGCTCGCCACACCACATACTCAAGGCAACCAATACACATACACACCCACCGTGTAATGGGTGAAGAAGATGTGTCCGTGTGTGTGTGTGTGTGTGTTTGTGTGTTCAGGGTCACGAGGTGGGCGTGTGGTATTTGGAATACTCACCTGACGGCAGACTCGTCGCGTCGGGCGACAACGAAGGTCTGCAATCCGACAAAACAAGCAAGGGCGCTCAGGGTCATTGTGTCTGTGTGTGTGGCAGGGACGGTGTACGTGTGGAACGTCTCGTATCAGCAGCCGACCCTCAACCACTCATTCAAGGTAGATGCGCGCGTCGACGAAGCGTCATCTGGCCATACCTTTCCTGACAATGTCTTTGTCTTTCTGTGTGTGCAGCGGCTGCACTACGGTGCCATTCGGGGCCTGGTGTGGCAGCCCAACATGACCATGCTCCTCACCGCAGCCAAAGACGGAAAAGTAAGGAACACACAGATGGACAGGCCTCTTCGTCTCTCATTGACCTTTCACACATACGGACGCAGCTGGGGTTTCTGTCGGTCCCTCCCAAGTGCCGGCAGGACCCCGACAAGAAGAAAAAGAAGACAAGAACCGGGGCGGCCGCTCTCCTATTCGGCGGCAACAGCGCGGCGCTGCGATCCTGGATACTCTCACTGCTCGACCCCACTTCACGCGCACGCACCATGAAGAGATATCTCGACTCCATCGAGGACGAGACAAAGAGGAAAAAGGCCGCCGGTGAGTGGGGGCATCGACACAGGCGACACTCTTACGTCGCTGTGTCGTTCATATGTGTGTGTGCAGCGAATGTGATAGCGTCCCGCTGGCACGAGAAGCGTGGGAGCATGGAAGAGCCGACACCGGCCAGAGAGAAGGACCCCGCCGGAAGGGAAGAGGACAGACCAAAGCCTTCGGCTCCCTCCTCGCCGACAGGTGATGCCCCAGTAGCCAAGGCGGCTCCCAGCAGCAAGAAGAGCAGCATCGGTGGGGGCCTCTTCCGCAAAAGGACTCACGTCGACCAGATGGACAAAAGCCCCGATGACTCAATCAAGATCAGACCCAAACACGGGTGGGTTGCAAGCAGGTGTCAGTGGATTTCTGTGTGTGAGACGCTCTTTGGCTTCTGCAGGTCTGTAAGGTACCGATCGGGCAAGTCTGGCATGATGTCGTCACTCAAAGATGGCCCCACACAGCCACCGGCAGATGACGCACGGAACGACAGGCCCACAACAACGGCATCTCGATTCGCTGACAGTGCTCCCCCCCGCGCGCCGCCCCTCCCCGCCAGCCCCCTGTCGTACCGACCGCCTTCGCCAGCACTCCCCAGCGACCCATCTGCACCCATTCCCCCACCCCCTCCACGCCCACCCCTCCCAGCAGCCTTGCCAGGTCCGGTTCTCCCTGGCGCAAGGCCCGCCGTATCAAGGGAAGAACCTCAGAGCTCTTCACCGACGGCGAGAGCGAAGAATCGGCCCCCACTGCCACTGCAGGCCCCCTTGCCGCCTCCCTTGCCGCCCCCTCCCCCAGCTGCCCCAGCAGCTGCTTCTCTGATGGCTGCTGCGGGCCCCCCACTCCCAGGCGCGATTCTGCCGCCACCACAGCCACCAGCGCCTTCTCTGACAGAGGAGACACACGATGACAACATTCTTGAGGCGGGCAAGGCGGCTGTGGTCCGATCAGGCAGCAGCAACAACGTGCAGACCAAATGGTTCGGTGGATCAGGCAGTGATGAGCTGCTGGCTGGGGCAGAGAGTGGGGTAATGGGTCCAGGCTCAGAGGGGCAGCAGCTCGACTCTGCTGTGCCGCCCGCCAGTGTGTTTGTGTCGCCGAGTGTGATTAGCAAGAAGGGTAGCCGAGAGAGTGAGGAGCCGACAGAGAGGAAGGAGTGGACCGTCGGCACAGACAGAGTGAATGAGTGACTGTAGCAATGATACTGTGAGTGCAGTGGGTGTCTTCGTGTGTCTGCCTATTGGGACAGGGCCTTCTGTGTCAACGACTGCATTTGTTTATTCATCGACGCTGGCTGAGCCACGAGACACATGGTGCACATTACCCTTGTGTGTGTGGATGAGTGAGTCATGAGCGACTAATGCCGCCAGAGGTAAGTGAGGTGACACACACATAAATGACAGACTGTCCACAGTAGTCTCACACGCACTCATGAATCCATCCGGGCAGCCAGGCAGCCAAACCGCAACATGCCCCCCTCTCCCCCTCTCGCTGTCCGTATACACCGAAAAAGACTGGGGACCAATGCCAAGCAATCTGTCTTGTTCCCTATTCAACCTATTCAATCACTTCAGTCCACCGCGTCCTCTCCCCCGCGCCACACCATGCCCCCACGATGCCCGTCCACTATCGTGGTGAGGGTCCGGCTCAGTCGTGCAGACACAAACGCAGCACCGATCCGGGTCCCCCAACAGCTCCATTATCGCCGTGTGCCCTTCGCCGACCGCCCCACCCAGCACTATCAGTCGGCCACGATGGCCCCCGTCGACTTGTCCAACACGGCCGCCCCCGCCCCCCACTGTGTGTCATCTGTGGGAGAGGCCGCCAGCAGCTCATTCACGCGCCGGGATGCAGCAGAGGCACGACAGTAAGACACCCAGGATCTGAAGGTGCGGATGTGGCGGCTGCCACAAAGCCAGTAGAACAGGACGAATGCCACCATTGATGTGTAGTTGGCTTATGTGCCGCCGTCTAGCTGTGTGGGCGGGTCGGCGGGATCCAATGCAGCATGAGGGAAGTGTGGACTCGGTTCGGTGAGGAGGGTGGGGAGGCAGTGGGTCTGAGAGCGGAGAATCTTGTTGCGGGTCCACCAGCTGTATCTGTTGGCCGTTGTGGTTCAAAGTGATCATCTATCCCGCCACACATTCCGCCCCAGGTGATGTCCCAGCACACCCATCACAGCATCGCGCATCTGGACGAGGGGGCCCACAAGGTCGCGTAGATGCCCACATAGCGTCCATCCCCCCACTCCTCCAGCTTAATGAGTGCCATGTGTCCCTCGCCCATCGCCTCACTCCCAAGCACCACCAGCCGCTCATGGCCCTCCCCGTCAGACCACTTCTCGTCGAACACGGCCGCCCCCGCCCCCCACTGTGTCGCATCGCTGGGAGGGGCCGCCAGCAGCTCACACACACGCCGATATGCAGCAGGGTCAGGACGGCAAGACCACCAGGCTTTGATGCAAGGGATGTGGCCGTCTTTATAGAGCCAGGAGAGCAGGATGAATGCCACCATTGATGTGTAGCTGGGGCTCGTCCAGTCGCTCAGCTTAGTGGGCGGATTGGCGGGGTCGAATGTGTCGTGAGGGAAGAGGGGGCTGCCAGAGGGGAAAAGCGTGCGGAGATAGTAGCTCGTCTCGACAGGGAGGCGGAAAAACCTGTCGCCGTTCATCAGTCGTCTCTGTTGGCCTCGAAAACTGACAGTGACATCTCGGCTGAGTATCTTCCACCGCCGGACGGCCTCCGTCTCGCCGATGAAGGCCGCCCGGCTGCCAAACACACTGAAGTTGTCGTCACTCAGCACCACAATCCTCCGGCCTCGCAGCAAGTACAGCATCTCCAGCACAGGCCGCCATCTGGCCCAATCGCCGCCCCTCTCGAAGATGAAGAGCCGACGTGTGATGGCCACAATGATGGACACCCTCTGGGTCAGCTGAGGCATCGGCACCTCCATCAGACCGCCAAAGATGGCCTCCACCACGACGGGCAGCAGTCGTATGAGAATGGGCAGCAGGACGGCGGCGGTGAATTGGGTGGGATGGGCGGCGATGAGGGCCTCCAGCTGTGAGTAATTCCTGACGTACTCGGCAACTAAGGGCACCGCCTCATCTGGCACATCAGCGGGACTGATGAGGCGATCATACTGATGCTGCTGGTGCTGATTGACACACGACACATGGCTGGCACCTGCACCACCATCAGCACACACACACACACACAGACAGTCAGCTGTGTGCCGGCATGATTGTGCCTTTCTGCAGCGAACGTGTTGGTCACCATTGGCGGCCGACGCAGCGGACGATGTCGTGTTCTTAGATATGCCATTCTCGACACGAGCAGCCGATGTCTGCAATCAACGCAGACAGACAGGCAAACAGACAGACAGACATCATGTGTGCCTGCCGGTGCTGTCCTTCTCCGCTCGCCTCGCCGTGCATAGGCCCTTCAGCCACCGCCATAGACCAAGCATGCCGGAGGAAGAGGCCCTTGTGAGTCACAGATCTGCCACAATCACACGCAGAGACCACACAGGCCGTCATTGCTGATCTCATAAGGCCCTCTTGGGTGCCCTCCCTCACCTCAATGCGTCAGATCAGCGCCGCTCAGAGAGATGACGGCCACATCTCTGTTGATCGATGTCATCACAGCGGCGCTTCGGTCACCTCCCAGGCACTCCACGCCGCCCTGTTATCGCAAAAAGGCAAAGATTCTCGGCTGCAAGCTCGCAGAGCTGCGCAACGCTTTAACGACGCCGTCAGGCCACCTAGGGTGCTCCCTGAAACCGCTGCTGCGCAACGCTTTAAGCTCTTAAGACGCTCATCGGAGGCGAGAGGGCAGCAAGAGAGACAGATGAAGTATCGAAATGCCGCAAACCGATCCCTTTTCGTGTGTCTGTTGTGTGTGGCTGCAGATCTCTTGTGTGATGCCTCGCTGAGGCCTCAAGACACTCCCGATGCAGCCCACTGGTGCGGCGCCCTCGTCCCGTCCCGCCAGCCCTGCCCTCTTCCAGCCCGCCGACCTCTTTGACCTGTCATTGCCCATCAGCAAGATGGCCGCCATGGCCTTGGCGACTGACGATGCCAAACGAGCCGCTCTCCGCTCGCAGATCGCCACCCGCACTCGGCAACAGGAGCTGCTGGGCCACACTGCGGAGACCGTCAACAGCACCTTGCTCAACGCCGTCCAGCAGCACATCCACAAGGCCCTCAGTCGTCTCGGCCTGGCGGACGTCTTGGCCTTCGACATTGGCGGTGATGTGGAGGCCGGCTTGAAGGTGGTCTGTGTGCTGGAGCGGGGCAGTGGCGAGGAGTGGCGGGCGATGGGGCGGTTCCTTCGGATGGCCTTCATCTACCGGCTGACCCCTGCTGATGCGCCGCGGCCTCTCCGGCTGTCGGCTTCCTCGCTGCCCACAGCAACGGCCTTCCACCAGCTGCCACTCGCCATGGCCCTCTACAAGACCTTCGGCCAGCAGCTCAGCTACATGGGGATCAGCCTGGCGCTGCAGCAAACCGACGACGGGGCCTATCGGATCGGCAATGTGCCGTTTCGTGTGGTGCCGTTAGGTGAGCTGCCGGGCGGCCATCCCTATGCCGACGGCTACAAGCGGACCGATCCCGTCATCCGCTGGAACGAATGGCTCCTCTTCCCCTCATTCTCGGCCTTTCTGATGGATAGGCTGCTCGTGTGGTGGTGTGATGGAGAGGGGGTGGGTTGCAAGATGGTGCTGTTGGCACGCATCGGTAGTGAGGACCCTCGCTACGTCCCTCGCTATGGCCGTCTGCTGAGAACCGACGACATCACAGAGGATCAGGGCATCGTCGCCGACTATTGCAACGACTGGGGCAATCTGAATGCTGCTGATGCGACGGACTATCGTCGTGTGATTGTGAGCGGTTTCCGGCCCAACGATACCGTCACTGTCTACCTGCAGATGGGGCACAACGATATCCAGCTGTGGACGACCGAGGCACCTGCTGCTGATCGGCCTCATCCACTCGCGGACCGCTACACTCTGTCGATACCCCTGTGGTGTGGCGTGCTGCGGCGATTCGAGCTGGAGACCGACGTCATCGACAGGGGGATGGTGCTGAGGTGAAGGGTGTTGGCTGGCGGTTGGTGTTGTTGGTGCGTTTAATGCGTGGAGAGGGTCTGTCTGTCCGGGCGGTCGAGCAAATGACATGTGTTAACGTGTGACTGATTTTCATCGATCGTCGGTCCCTCTTTCTTTGGAGACAGTAGTATTTCGAATGCAGACGAATAGTTTTGCACCACTACGATCAGCACCTGTCAGACAGCACACCTGGAATGCATTTGAATGGGCGCCAGGTCAGCACGAGGTGTGCGCTTCTTCTCTCACCCTTCCTCAGTTGACCAACTGCATTGCTTGCAATATGACCCTTAAGGGAAGCCTCTGTCTGGTCACTCATAGAGATCAACGGAACAGGCAGAGCTATTAATCCTTCTCTCGGAGACAGCAATACTCCCAGCACAGACACACACACTCATGCTCACACACAGACCTTCCTCAACAGACACATACGTTGTGTATCGGTTTCATTCACGGTGGCTTGCATGAAGAGGATTTAGGATTTTGCTCCGGATGACTTTTGACATCAGACGAGTCGAGGGTCATCTGCACTGATCTTCATTCACGTGAACCAGCCATCCAATCAAACAGTCCAATAAAAACGAGTCGGACATTCAGCGATCCATGCCATACTTGCAAAGAGGCACGTCGACATACCGGAACACCTATGAAGTTACCACCCCTCACCCCACCACCCTCCCCCTATCGATGACGGCACTCTCGAGGCCGAATGGCCGCAGCAGACGGCGAGCGGCACCAGCCGACTCGGGGTAGCGGTCGGCGACCGGCTGAGACCGATCAGCCACATGTGCCTCGGTCGTGTACAGATGGATGATGTCCGACCATACATACAGATAGGCAGCGACGGTCTCTCCCGGTCTGTGGCCGCTCACAATCACATTGCGAAAGTCAATCGGATCAGCAGCATTCAGATTGCCCCCATAGGCATCGATACCCTGATCCTCTGTGATGGCATCGGTCAGTAGACGGCCATAGCGAGGGTCGCCCCTGCCGATGACTGCACGCAGCACCATCCTGTGACGCACTCCTTCTCCATTCGACCACCAGCGGAGCAGCTTGTGCAACAGAAACGCCGAGAAGGAGGGGTAGAGCCATGCGCTCCAGCGGATGACGGGGTCGGTCCGCTTGTAGCTCTCGGCATAGCGATGGCCTCCCGGCAGCTCACCCAACGGCACCACACGAAATGGACCAGAATTGCCGATCCGATAGCTCCCGTTGTCGGCTTGCTGCAGCGCCCGGCTGTTGAATCCGTATGTCAGCAGGTGGCGGAACAGCCGACAGATGGCCATGGCGAGTGGCATCCGATGGGAGGCCGTTGCTCTGGGCAATGCGTCAGCCGACAGACATAGAGGCAGCCCATTGTGTGTGAGCATGTGGCCGAACAGCCGATAGATGGCCATGGCCAATGGCAGCTGGTGGAATGCCGTCCTGCTGGGAAGGTGGGCTGCAAGCCACTGAGCCGACAGCAGCAGGGGCAGCCCATTGGCAGGCGTCAGCCGATAGATGGCGGCCAGCCGGATGAACCGCCCCATCCCCGGCCACTCGTTGCTGCCCTGCTCCAGCACATAGGCCGCCCGCAGCACATAGGTGAATGGGAGAGGGGCGGTGCGGTCGATGTCGATGAGGCCGGTGAGTGAGTGGCGGCCGAGGGAGCCGTCGATGCGCTCCACCAGCAGCGCGGCGGTCACTAGAGCCGCCTTCGCCCGGCAGGCCGCTCGGACACAGACCGCCTCATGGACGAGAAGGGACGGCAGAATGCGCCCGAGCCATAGGTCGTCGGGCACCAAATCAGACATCTTCACTCACTCAGTCAGCAGATGGCAGCCACCTTCCAGACAGCACAAGGACACACACAAGGAAGCAGAAAGCAAATGCATTTTGAATGGGCCAGGTCTGCATGGCGTGCGTGGTTCTTCTCTCATCCTTCATAAGCTGACCAACTGCCTTGCACAATAAGGGAAGCCTCTGTCTGGTCACTCGCAAAGATCAAGGGGCCTCCGACCTGCCTAAAAATACAGAAATCATACCAGCTGGTATTCCTCATGCCATCAGGCCCTCCCTCCCGCCCTCTCGAACCTCATAGAGGAGGTGGCAGAATGTGTGTGGATCGACAGCATGACAGCAGCTCTTTGTGTGTATTTGTCATTTCTGGGCGAAGAGATCTGCAACCAAGCTTGCAGATGGATCGCCTTCCCGTCGGGAGAGATTTCGAACCTCTGGAGCCACTCAGTGAGGGTAAAGGGCCGCAAGAAAAGCAGATGAAGAGTAAGAGCGCTTCACGAGCTGTTTGTGTTTGTCCTGTGTCTGCAGATCTCTCAAACCCCGCTTCGCTGAGACCTCAGGACACTCCCGATGCAGCCCACTGGTGCGGCGCCGTCGTCCCGTCCCGCCAGCCCTGCCCTCTTCCAGCCCGCCGACCTCTTTGACCTGTCATTGCCCATCAGCAAGATGGCCGCCATGGCCATGGCGACTGACGATGCCAAACGAGCCGCTCTCCGCTCGCAGATCGCCACCCGCACTCGGCAACAGGAGCTGCTGGGCCACACTGCGGAGACCGTCAACAGCACCCTGCTCAACGCCGTCCAGCAGCACATCGACAAGGCCCTCACTCGTCTGGGCCTTCAAGACGTGTTGGCCTTCGACATTGGCGGTGATGTGGAGGCCGGCTTGAAGGCGGTCTATGTGTTGGAGCGGGGCAGTGGCGAGGAGTGGCGGGCGATGGGGCGATTCCTTCGGCTGGCCTTCATCTACCGGCTCACCCCCTATGGGACGCGGCCCCTCCGGCTGTCGGCCGACTCGCTGCCCACAGCAATGGCCTTCCACCAGCTGCCACTCGCCCTGGCCCTCTACAAGATCATCGGCCACCTACTCATACGCGGAGGGATCAGCCTGGCGCTGCAGCAAACCGACAACGGCCACTATCGCATCGGCGGTGTGGGTCTGTTTCGTGTGGTGCCATTGGGTGAGCTGCCGGGCGGCCATCGCTATGCTGAGGGCTACAAGCTGACCGACCCCGCCATCCGCTGGGGCATCCTACTCATTCCCTCATTCTCGGCATTCCTGCTGTACGGGCTGCTTTCCTGGTGGTGTGATGGAGAGGGGGCGGGCAAGAAGATGGTGCTGTTGGCACACATCGGCCGTGGCAACGCTCGTCATCGCCGTCTGCTAAGCGACGACATCACAGAGGATTTGGGCATCGCTGTCGACTATCGCAATGACGGGGGCGATCTGAATCATGCTGATCCGATTGACTTTCGTAGTGTGATTGTCAGCGGCTGGCGATCCAACGAGACCGTCGCTGTCCACCTGTATGTGGGGAATGGCTCGATCATTCTGCACACGACCGAGCCATCTGCTGCCCATCGGTCTCATCCGCCCGCCGACCGCTACTCTGTGTCGGTTGGTGCCGCCCGCCGTCTGCTGCGGCCATTCGGTCTCGAGACTGATGTTATCGACAGGGGAAGGGTGGTGATGGAGTGAGGGCTGCTGGCTGGCTGGCGATGGGATGCTGCTGGTTTGTTTATTTAGTGGGTAGAGAGGGTCTGCCTGTGTGTCTGACGAGTAGCGGTGGAAGGAAAGTGAGTGTATTTGGAATGGGTTACGTGCTTTCATTGCATTTGTGCCGTGAATGGGAGAATGTTCTAGTTGCCGAGTGGCAGGTATAGCGCGGTGCACTGCGGCTCGACGCAGATGAACATTGACTGTTCGGGAATTGACCGACCGACGGTGTGTTTCTTTTTGGTGCATTTGGTCGGGTGTATCCTGTTGACAAAGACTGACGGACAGACACCTGGGGATTTGTCCGTTCGATGGCCGTGTGGAGTGTGTCTGACATAGACGTGTGTGTGTATGCCAGCAGGTGTGGTGTTTGGGTGTGCTGATCTGATCTGTGTTAGCGTCTGACTGATGGATGGATGTATGGCTCGGCTCCATCAGCAGGACAGGACGCTCTTCATTCATTCACGTGTGCCCTCCCTCCCTCCCTTCAGACACACACACAGGTCGGTAACTAAAGCCATTCACCACTCACACCAGGCATTCCCAACACGCAGTCAAGGGAAGGGAAGCTGCACATACGGAGCACATGGCAACAGACCCGCTAAAGGCCCCAGGCAAGCAGACGGGCAGACCAACAGAGCCGTTGCCTACCTGTCTGTCTGTCTGTCTGTCTCCCCCCCTACTAATCGTCAACCAGCCCTCTGTCGTGGACAATCGACACACTTACGGAAAGCCCCCGATCACATCACAGTGCATCTGCACTTGTTGGCCGTCGCTCGCCTATCGTACACCTCCCACGACCACTTCATGCCCCACACTGCGCCCCCAGCACTCTCGTCACGACAGAGCGTGTGTGGTCGAAGGGGGCCGATTCGGTCGTGGAGATGAAAATGTCCCGTCGCATCTCCCGATGGCCAACCTGAATGGCCGCCATGTGCCCCTCGCCCATCACCTCACTGCCGAACACCACCAGCCGATCACACCCCCCACTGATCAGCGGCTTCTCGAACACGGTCGCCCCCGC